TGATTCCAAAGTTAAAATAAAATTTTAATTATTCTGTTTGACTAAAATTAATTTTTACTACTGAATTTTGTAAAAATACCGATAATTTGCCAAAAAAATTCAATTATGTTTGATTTAATCTTATTTTACATTTTTTTCAAAGATTTAGAAAAATTCTAACGTTTTAAAAAAATGTTGTCCGACTCAAACGTATTTTGTACTACTACTGACAAGAAAAATTTTATCAATTCGCAAAATAGTTATCCAAATTAAAACTGATTTTCACTGCTGTTAATTTGTCTGACTTAAATTGACCTCTACTACTTAATTATCTAAAAGTACTAAAAATTTGTCAAAAATTGTCAATTCTGTCTGTCTGACTAAAATTGATTTTTTCTACTGAGTTTTGCAAAAAAAATACTAATAATTTGGCAAAAAATTTCCAATTATGTCTGATTTAATTTTTTTTTCAAATTTTTAAATATTTAGAAAAATTCTAACGTCCAAAAAAAATTTTATCCAACTCAATCGTATTTGTCCTACTGACAACAACAAATTTCATCAATTCGCAAAATTGTTGTCCGAATTAAACCTGATTTACACTGCTGTTAATTTCTCTGACTAAAATTGACCTCTACTACTTATTTTTCTAAAAATACTGAAATACTTTTACTACTTTTATTTCAAAAATTAAAATAATATTTTAATTAGTCCGTCTGACTAAAATAGATTTTTACTACTGATCAATTTACAGAATTGTTGGCCGAATTAAAACTGATTTTCACTGCTTTTAATTCGTCTGACCAAAATTGATCTCTACTACTTATTTTTTTAAAAATACAGAAAATCTGTCAAAAATTGTCAATTCTGTCTGATTTAAATCTTTTCGTTTTACTACTGAGAGAAAAATACTTAAAGATTCAGGAAAACTTTGTTTGACTCAAACTTACTTCTACTACTGATAAGAGAAAAATTTATAATTTCGGAAAATTGTTTCTCTAATTAAACTAATTTTTACTACTGATTACAAAGACAAAATAAAATTTTAATTACTCTGTCTGACTAAAATTGACTATTTCTACTAAGTTTTGCAAAAATACTGCCAATTTGTCAAAAATTTCCTATTATGTCTGATTTAAACAGTTTTTTACTACTGAAAGAAAAATACTAATGATTCAGGGAAATTTGGCTGACTCAAATCTTTTTGTTCTACTGACAACAGAAAATTTTACTAAAATAAAATTTTAATTAGTCTGTCTGACTAAGATTGATTTTTACTACTGAGTTTTGTAGAAATACTGATAATTACCCAAAAAATTTCCAATTATTTCTGATTTATTTTTTTTACATTTTTTTAAATATTTATAAAAATTCTAATGATTCAAAAAAATTTTGTTCTACTCAAACGTACCTATTTGTACTACTGACAACAAAAAATTTGATCAATTCGCCAAATTGTTGTCCGAATTAAAACTGATTTACACTGCTGTTAATTTGTCTGACTAAAATTGACCTCTACTACTTATTTTTCTAAAAATACTGAAAATCTGTCAAAAATTGTCATTGTGTCTGATTTTTAATTTACTACCGAGAGAAAAATACTAAAGATTCAGGAAAACTTTGTCTGACTCAAACTTACTTATACTACTGACAACAGAAAATTTTATAATTTTGAGAAAATTTTTGCGCGTATCAGCCTGATTTTTACTACTGATTCCAAAAACAAATTAAAATTTTAATTACTCTGTCTTACTAAAATCGACTAAAATCCTATTATGTCTGATTTAAACATTTTTTTAGTACTGAAAGAAAAATACTAATTATTGAGGCAAATTTTTTCTGACTTAAATCTTTTTTTGTTCTACTGACATCAGAAAATTTTACTAATTTCGAAATTTTTTCCAAAATTAACATCAGAAAATATTTCTAATTTCGGAATTTCTTCTAGAATTAAACTTTTTTTTAACTTAAACTAATATTAAACTTAGATTTTAATTAGTCTGTCTGACAAAAATTGAATTTTACTACCGAATTTTTTTAAAATTCTAACAATTTTTTTAGTACTGATAGAAAAATACTAAGGTTTCAGGAAAACTTCGTCTGACGCAAACGTATTTGTCCTACTGACAACAAAAATTTGATCAATTTGCAGAATTGTTGTCTGAATTAAAACTGATTTTCACTGCTGATAGTTTGTCTGACTAAAATTGACCTCTACTACTGAATTTTTCTAAAAATACTGAAAATCTGTAAAAAATTGCCAATTCTGTCTGATTAAAATTTTTTTTTTTTTACAACTGAAAGAAAAATAGTAAAGATTCAGGAAAATTGTGTCTGACTCAAACTGACTTATACTACTGACAAAACAAATAAATTTACAATTTCGGAAAATTTTTGCCTTGATCAAACTGATTTTTACTGCTGATTCCAAAATTAAAATAAAATTTAATTACTCTGCCTGACTAAAATTGACTGTTACTACTGAGTTTTGAAAAAATACTGACAATTTATCAAATATTTTTAATTATGTCTGATAAAAACATTTTTTTTACTGCTTGCAAAAAAATACTATAATGATGCAGGAAAATTTTGTCTGACTCAAATGTATTTGTTCTACTGACATTAGAAAGTTTTACTAATTTCGAAATTTTTTCCAGAATTGAACAGATTTTTTTTACTGAAACCAATAATAAACTTAGATTTTAATTAGTCTGTCTGACTAAAATTGATTTTTACTACTGAGTTTTGTAGAAATACTAATAATTTAGTTATATTTAGTTATAATTTAATTATAATTTAGTTAAAAAATTTCCAATTATGTCTGATTTAAACATTTTTTAAGTATTAAAAGAAAAAACTAATGATTCAGGAAACATTTGTCTGACTCAAATTATTTTGTTCTACTGAAAACGGAAAATTTTACTAAAATAAAATAAAATTTTAATTAGTCTGTCTGACTAAAATTGATTTTTACTACTGAATTTTTTTAAAAATACTGAAAATCTGTCAAAAATTGTCAATTCTGTCTGATTTTAATTTTCTTTTTTTTACAATTAAAAGAGGAATACTAAAGATCCAGGAAAACTTTGTCTGACTAAAACTTACTTATACTGATATTACTTATACTGATTTTTTCTTTATCTTTACTTTATACTGCTGACAACAGAAAATTTTATAATTTCGAAAAATTGTTGTCCGAATTAAAACTAATTTACACTGCTGTTAATTTGTCTGACTAAAATTGACCTCTACTACTTAATTTTCTAAAAGTACTAAAAATTTGTCAAAAATTGTCAATTCCGTCTGTCTGACTAAAATTGATTTTTACTACTGAGTTTTGTATAAAATACTGATAATTTGTCAAAAAATTTCTAATTATATCTGATTTAATTTTTTTTTTTCTAAATTTTTAAATATTTAGAAAAATTCTAACGTCTCAAAAAAATTTTGTCCAACTCAATCGTATTTATCCTACAGACAACAACAAATTTCATCAATTCGCAAAATTGTTGTCCGAATTAAAACTGATTTTCACTGCTGTCAATTTGTCTGACTAAAATTGACCTCTACTACTTATTTTTCTAAAAATACTGAAAATTTGTCAAAAATTGCCAACTCTGTTTGATTAAAATTTTTTTTTACTACTGAGAGAAAAATACTAAAGATTCAGGAATACTTTGTCTGACTCAAACTTACTTATACTACTGATAAGAGAAAAATTTATAATTTCGGAAAATTGTTGCCCTGATCAAACTAATTTTTACTACTGATTCCAAAGTTAAAATAAAATTTTAATTACTTTGTCTGACTAAAATTGACTATTACTACTGAGTTTTGCAAAAAAAAAGCCAATTTGTCAAAAATTTTCTATTACGTCTGATTTAAACAGTTTTTTTAGTACTAAAAGAAAAATACTAATGATGCACGAAAATTTTGTCTGACTCAAATCTATTTGTTCTACTGACATCAGAAAATTTTACTAATTTCGAAATTTTTTCCAGAATTAAACTGATTTTTTTTACTTAAACCAAAATTAAACTTATATTTTAATTAGTCTGTCTGGCTGAAATTTACTTTTACTACTGAGTTATTGTAAAAATTCTAACAATCTTTTTAGTACTGAAAAAAATACTAAAAATTCAGGAAAACTTCGTCTGACGCAAATGTATTTATACTACTGATAACATGGAAATTTTACAATGTTGGAAAATTGTTGTACCAACTAAACTGACTTTTACTATTTATTTCATAAATAAAAAAATTTCTTTGCAGGAATTTAATTATTCTCTTAAAATTTTTTGATAAAATTCTTTGCAAGAATTCAATGATTTTCAATAGGTACATTAATTTTAAATTTGAAAATATTTAAAAAGAAAAATTATTAAAAAAAAAAGTTCAGAAACAAAAAAGCAAACAACAACCAAGTTCTTCTGAATTTTAAAAATTCAATTTTTTCCAGTACTTTTACTAAAAATCTCTGACTTTTTCCTGACTTCCTTGACCTGAGGCAACCCTATTAGTTTTATCCACAATTTTTACCTACTCTGTACTCTTTACAAATAATTTAAACGTTTTTTTAAAAAATCAAAATTTTGGAAAATATTTCCAATTTTAAAAAATAAACTTCTCATTTATAGCAATAAAAATCCCAAACACAATGAGAATGTTGTTCATCAATTGATGGCAAAATGCGAGCACAATTGTCACAAAATTTATATATAGTCTAACAATTCATGTCTGAAATTCTCGTTATCTTACACGAGGATTGACCTATTGAAATTTCTGAAACTCAAATCACACGAGTTTGAATAGAGAGATTTCGCAAAATTATTTACAGAAACTCAGTAAAAGCGTCGCGCATTGACATAGGAAGTTGAATGAATAGGTGAATTTGCGAAGGGTGTATGTGTGAATTTGAGAGAGAGAGCGAGAGAGAGAGAAAGTCGAGCGCCAAATTGCCATTCCCTTCGGGACGTAAATTAGAATAGAATCGCTATCTGTTGTAAACCCAGGAAACTTACTTGTATTGTTTGGTGCTTGTGTTCGTCTCTTCGCGTAAGTACTGAATACAGATGTCCGTAATTTTGTTCAACTCGTTGGCAAGTTCTACGCTGTCGGGGCCAAATCTCTCTTCAACTGCTGCTATACTGTGTTCCAGATACGATATGGAATCCAGCCATCGACCTGAAATAATTACCAAAAACTTTTGTCTAAGTATTTTCAGAATTCTCCTTTTTCCGAAAAAATAAAGAGACAATTCAAAATATTCCCCAAAACTTCTCTCTTAAGACGATTTCTATTATTAACGCAACAAGAATTCTTTTTCTTATTCTCAAAGAATATAACAGGGTTGCCACGCTTTTCCTCATTTCAAATTCCCTGACTTTTCCAAATTTTAATTTAATTTCTAATTTTATTCTTAATTTTACCAAACTCCCTGATTTCCAGACAATACGACTTTTTCCTGTTCTATTCCATTTATATACGAATTTCTTTAATTGTAAAATTACTCAAAAGCATCAATAACTTCATTTTTAAATGAATATTCAATCATTATTATTTATTTACAAAAATTGAAATTGTCAAAAATTTGAAATTCAATTACATACAATAATTAAAACTTTATCATTATTTTACTATTATAAAAATATTATTACTGTAATTTCTTCAAAATTATTTTCATTTCAATTCAAATTCTTCATTTCTAGAATTTTAAACTAAAATTCTTTTTTAAAACCATTTTTTTAAAATAATTTTTGAAAAAGTTCTTCTTTAAGATTTTTTAAATCCATTTGTTTACAATTCAATTTTACCTAAAATTTGGATTATTATGACATTCTTCAATTAAATAAATCAGAAATTAAAAACTTCAAATAATAAAAAAAAATTTCATTAAACTTTTTGAGAAAAATTAATTCTAAATTTCCTTAAAAATCTTGTCAAGAGAATTTAATTATTTTTATAGATAATAAAATTATTCGCAGGAATTCAATTATTCTCGAAAAAATGTGAATAAAATTCTTCGAAATAATTCAATTATTTTTAAAATTGACAAAATTCTTCGAAAGAATTCAATTATTTTGAAAATTGATAAAATTCTCCTCAAGAAGTCAATTATTTTCAAAAATAATAAAATTCTTCGTAAATATTCAATTATTTTCAATATTAATTTTTACGTAATTTTGATTATTCTTCAATTAAATATATATATTAGAAAATAAAAACTTCAAGAATTAAAGAAAAATTCAGTTAAACTTTTTTAAAAAATAAATTCAACAGAATTGTTAATTAAAAGTATGAAAAGTTCAAATTTAATTTTAATTTAAGAATTTTATTTTTCTAATTTTATTTTAATTTGCAACATTTTTAAAATTTAATTATTTCTAAAAATTTAAGCTATATTGCTTTCAATATTCAATAATAATCTAAAATTTTAACTGAGATTCATTTTTAAATCAATTTTTTTTTAATTCTACTAGAATTCAATTATTTAAATACAAAAATAAATAATTTATTGAATCATTAAATGTTTCTTAAAATTGAATTTTTATTAAGACTTTTATCAACAAATTTTTAAATAATTGAATTCTCTTGACAAATTTTAATACAAATTTTTAAGAATAAGTTTATTTTTCGGAAATTTGATTAAAAATAATTGAATTTCTCCAAAGAGAAAAAAGTTTTTAAAACCCTTTTTTTTATAAGAATTTTTGAAAATAATTGAAATTTTGCTAAGAATTTTGTTAAAGTTTTCGAAAATATTTGAATTTCGGAGAAAAATTTATAAAGATTATTGAAATTTTAACGAGAATTTTTGTAAATTGTTGAACACAATTAAATTTCTGCAAAGAATTATATTACTTTTGAAAATAATTAAATTCTTGAGACGAATTTTTTAAAAAACTCTTTTTAAATAATTGAATTTCTTTGATAAATTTTAATAAAATTTTGAGGAATAATTTCATTTTTCGAGGAATTTTATTGAAATTGTATTAAAAATAATTGAAAGTTTGAGATGAGTTTTATTATCTATGAAAATAATGAAATGTTTGCGAAGAATTTAAAAATTTTTTTTAAATAATTGAATTCTTTTGAAAAATTTTATGAAAGTAGTAGATTTATTAAAAATCATTGAATTGAAGAAAAGTTTTTGAAAATAATTGGAATTATGCCATGAATTTTATTAAAATTGTTGTAAATAATTGAATTTCTAAGAAGAATTTTACTAATTTAGAAAATAATTGAATTTATGCAATCATTTGTAATTGCTTCAAAACTCAATTTCTTTTAGTGTTTTTAATTAAAATTCTTCTATAAATCCATTATTTTTAATAATCAATTAAAAATATATATTAAAAAATTTAACTAATTTCAGAAGAATTGGAATAATTAAATATTCTCAAAAATTTACGTTCTTTAAGACGATTTCTAGTTAAATTCATTCGAAATTAAAATTTTACAAAATTTCAAATTAAAATCTTTTGAAATTCATCTGTAACTTATGAAAATTGTAAACGCAATTTTTTTGAGAATTTAATTAATTTTGAAATATTTATGTAAAATTAGATTTCATGGATAAACTTTAGAAAATAACAATTTTCCAGGATTTCGATAAAAATTCCCTGACTTTTTCAGGTTCTTTCAAGGTTTATAAAATTCCCTGACATTTCCAGGTTTCCAGATTGCGTGGCAACCCTGATATATTTACACTAAATACTCGAAAAATAATTAAATGAATTACAAAAAAATTCTTCCTAATTTTTTCTATGCTCTGTCGATGATATAGTTTTTGCGAGAAATTTCAATTCTCTGTTCTATTAGCGAATAAGAAAAAAAAGAGGGGAAAAACTGACCCATAATTGCGTAGACTTTTCCGATTAAATCAAGTGTCACGGCAATATCTTCATGATGTTTATAGAGAACGTTACGCCGGATGCATAAACACTGTTTCAATTTATAGAGGGCCTCGTCAATTTTCTCATGATCGATGCAACCCTGCGCGGCGTCGTAAAGATCCTGAGCCTCCTTTAAATCAGCTCCATAAGTAACAATTGGAGTTGCTCCACAATCAAGGCAATGCAATGAATAACTGTGAAGATTGTGCAAAGCTCCAGTACACTCAGGACACTTTAATGCGCTGAATCTCTCCTAAATTTCACAAAGCAAGAAACATTTAGAATTTTCATTTATTTTCATAAAGAACTTTTTTATGAAAATAATAAACGCATATAATTCTTTAAGCTTACTGGATAAATAGATAAACAGTTTATGGATAAAAGGTTTTTTTGATTCTAAGAAATGAAATAAAATGATAGCCAAATAAATAAATAATAAAATTAATTTCAACTATGATATATATTTTTTAAAAGTAAATATAAATTTCTATATGTGAATATAAATTTCTATATCATATGTAAATATATAAATTTCTATAAGTAAATATAAATTTTTATATTTTAATACATACTTTTTTTACTTTTAAGAAACAAAATAAAAAAACCCAAATAAATTGTTTGGTAAAATTACATTTTGACAGAAATGAACAAAAAGTGAATAATTAAAGTAGAAAAAAAAGAAAATAGTGCTTTTTTTAAGAATTTTCCTTTTCATTACGCACCAAAAAGTAGCGTAACTCTGGATTATTACACGCCTCACATTTGCAAATGAAACAATATTGATTCTTTAAAGTTTCCTGTCTGTCGTCTTTGGACATTCGACGAAAATGTGGTCCTGAAAATTAAAACAATCATCCATTGATATTTAATACTAAAATACGCAAATAAATTACTTTATTTTTAAATAAAAGAAAAACACACTAACCGTAACAATTTAGAACTTCCTCTCCAACTCCAATGTCCTTTGTTGCCTTCACAATCAGATGTTGATCCCAGAAGCTGAAAAATCAATTTAAATAATTAGCGAAAGAAAAACAAAGAAGGCAATTCAAATTTTCGTTTATTTCAATAATTACATGTAATTTTTTATTTTTTTGTGTTTTATTTTTTATTTATTTTGTGTTTTTTCAGACTTTGCACTAAAAAAGTAGCTGTCGAAAAATTAAACTTGACGACAAAAAAAACTCATTTTAGACACTTCAGAAAATTGACAAAAATTCCATTCTATATTTTATTTTCCTGACTTTTTCCTAATTTTCACAAAAAATATTTACTTCTTTCCTATCCTGCTTATAAATTGAATTCCTACAACGAAATTTTATTATTCATAAAAGAATTTAAATATTTATAAAAAAAATTTAATTCTTGCGAAGAATTTTATAAAAAATTTTAAATAATTGATTTCTTTCGACTAATTTTATGCAAATTCTAATTTAAATAATTGAATTCCTAAGAAATTTTTATTATTCATGAAAAGAATTGAATTCTTACGAAGATTTTTATAAAAAAATTCTTTAAATAAAAATTAATTCTTCTTTTCTTTAAATTCTTTTTGGAAATTTTATGAAAATAGTAGATATTGAAAATCATTGAATTGAGGACAATTTCTAAAAATAATTAAATTTTAAAAAGAATTCTATTCAAATTTTTGGGAATAATTGAACGATTGTGCGGTATTTTATTAAATTTTTTTTGAAAATAATTGAATTCCTAAAAAGCATTTTATTATTTAAGAAAATAATTGAATTCTTGCGAACGATTTTATTAGAATTTTTTAAAATAATTTAATTTACAAGAAAAAATTTGTTACTTTTAAAAATAATTGAATTCTTGTGATGAATATATTGTTACTTATGAAAATAATCGAATTTTTCCAAGTATTTTATTAAAATGCCTCAAAATAATTCAATTTTCGGGAATAATTTTTTTATTTATTGACATAATTGAATTCTTTCCAAGAATTATTTATGTAAATAATTGAATTCTTGGGAAAAAAAAATTAGTTTCAATTGTATTTAAAATAATTGATTGCTTTCGAACTATTTTATTAAAATATTTAAAAATAATTGAATTCCTGCGGAAAATTTTAATATTTTTGTTAATAATTGAATTTTTCGAAAGAATTGTAAAAAAACATTCCTTTAAATAATTGATTTTTCGAGGAATTGAAATTCAACTTTAAGAATAATTACATTTTTTTGAGCAATTCCTGTAAAATTGCATTAAAAATAATTGAAATCCTGCTAAGAATTTTATTAAAATGCCTCAAAATAATTGAATTTTCGGGAATAATTTTATTAAAATTTTCCAAAATAATTGAATTCCTGTGAAAAATTCTATTATTTTTGTAATTAATTGAATTTTTCCGAAGAATTTTAAAAAAATATTTTTTTAAATAATTGATTTTTTCGAGGAATTAAAATTCAATTTTTAAAAATAATTACATTTTTTGAGCAATTCCTGTAAAATTTTTTTAAAAATAATTGAAATCCTGCGATACATTTTATTATTTATGAAAATAATTGTATTATTGCGAAAAATTTTATTAAAATGTTTAAAAAGAATTGAATTTCTGTAAAAAAATTTGTTATTTTTGAAAATAATTAATTTCTTCATAAAAATTTTATAAACATTGTTTTAAATAATTAATTTTTTTCTAAATATAATAATTAATAAATATTATGAAAATTTTATTTTAAATAATTGAATTCTTGTGGAAAACTTTATTTTTGAAAAGAATTGAATTTTTTGATTAACTAATTGATAACAATATTAAAAATAATTGAAATTCTTCGATGAGTTTTATTATTTATGGAAATAATTGAATTCTTGCTTAGAATTTTATCCAAGTTTTTTTTTAAAAATTCAATTTCCATGAAAAATGTTATTATTAGCGAATGTAATTGATTTATTGTGAAGAATTGTAGTTAAATTGTAGTTAAATAGTAGGTTTTAGTATATGAGTGCGAAGCCTGTTTTTTTATTATATAGTAAAAATTTTGTTCACCTGTTAATAATATTAGGATCACAGGCGTGATTCATCATGCTCGCTGAGAGATAAATTCCAGTTGCCACACGATCTTGATGCTCGGTTGACACCTTGTCCTTATCGGACGCAGTTAAATTCAGTCTTGTGATTGCATGTCCATTGCATATCAATTGCAGCATGTGCCTCAAAAGTAATGAACTTATATAAAGCCTTTTGCCATCTTCAATCGTGAGATCGCACTCGAAACTCAAACTGCTGTCGGCGAATTTACGAACGAAGCTCTCATTGATGTCGACGACTTTGAAAAAATCCGTGTACTTGTATAGATACAATGTCAACATTGTTGCCGTCTAAAAAGAAAAATTAACATTATTTAAAACAAAACAGTTTCAGAATAAAAATTTGCAATTAAGTTATTTAATTAATTATTATTAATTATAATTAAGTTACTTTCCTAAAATAATAAAAAAAACCTTTTCAATTCGAGAGTTTAGAGTAATAAAAACAATTAGCTAAGTTAAAATATGGAAATTTATCCAGAAGAATAAGAAAATAAATAAGAATTCAAAAAGGATAAAATAGTTGTGAAAATCTTACAATTCCATAAACGATCAGATCTTCTGGCATTAATTTATCGATGTTTGTAACTAAGCATTGAACTTGATTAAACTTATCAACGTCTTGAGTTGTTGCGCAATTTAGAAGCAATTTCATTGCCAAGTGCGCGATTCCAATTTGCTGCCAAACTCCCATACGACTTCCTGGACATTCCCATTGATGATAAGTTGACCATGCGTCATCCTGACACTTCACATCACAGTACATCGCCTCCACGCACATTTTACATCTAAATTCAAAAATAAACAAGTAATTATTAATTTTTGTATTATTCCTCCAGGGTTGCTTTAAAAATTTTATTTTATTTTTCACTATTTAATAGGATGTGAAATCTCTTTCAAATTTTTTCGATGAATTAAATTAAAATTGCATTTTGTTCAATTATTTATTGTTAGAAATAGAAAGAATTTAAAATTAAATTTAATATTTTCTTTTTTTTTAAGTCTATTACGTTGGACAACAAAATTGATAATTTTTTTATGAATTCTATAAATTGAATATTTTTCGAGTTTACTTTTGATAAAATTCCCTAAAATATTAATTTTTAGAAAATTCATTTCGGGATAAAGTTTGTGATATTATTTTTGTAATTAAAGTTTGAAGAAAAATTAAAATTTTAATAGAAATAATTATAAATACTAACTAAGTAATAATAAAGGTAATAAAATAATTTTTAAATAATTTTGGGATGAAAAAATTAACTTACGGAAATGGAACATCGCCCTGTGGTCGGCAGCAATGAGCGCAAAGTGATGACGATTGTTCGTGATCGAGCAAAACGAAAGCAAACGGCTTTTCAACAAAGAGAATTTGTCCCTTGGGTATATCACGATTAGCAACAACATAACGTCCCTTGTCGGGTGCACATTTTTTCTCTAGAGCCGCAGATGCATAGGGGAAATTTGCATTAACTCCAAAAGCTGGCTCCGGTTTATTGCCCGACATCGAGTCGGAAGCCTCATTTTCATCATCGCATTCCATGCTTGACGCTGTTGCCATTAAACTCGCGACTTGTTGCTTGATACTTGCTGAAATATTAAAAGAAAAAACGACAATTTTAGTAAAATCTTAATTATTTACAATTTTGAATTTTTACTCTAATTATTTTGTTCTTTAAAAAAATGTATGAATTTTTCTCAAAAATTATTTATCGAATGTATAAAATATGGAATATAGTATATAAATTTATACTTTTTTTAATTTCAGGAATCTCCTCGCAATTATTAACAATATCCTGAACTCTCATTAAAGATTCTTCCATTGATTTTCTTTTTCTCAATTTCCAAAAGCACTGGGCAGCTCGCAAGTGCAATTTGTAGCGCAAATTTTCCGGATATTCCCACATTACTGCCAAATCTATATCCTTGATACAATCCTGGAAGAAAAAATATTATGATTTATTTATAAATTAAAATTTAAATTAATTTATTTATAAAAAATATTATTTTTTTAACATTATACTAATTAACAATTAGATTATCAAAAAATATACAAAAAATTCAATAAAATAAACAATATTTAAACAAAAAAAACCCCAAAAAATTGATACAACAATAAATTAATAAAAAATGTAAATTATTGTTATTTCCCTTCCTGTAATTGTTGTTAATTAATTTATTGAAAAAGAAAAGTAAAAATGTAAAATTTATTGTTTATACTTCAAATTTTTCAAGATAGAAGAGTGATGCTGATCTATTGGCAACAGCAAGTGCCAAATCCTCACTTCCCATTGGAGCATATTGTAAACTTTTTGTATAAAGATGAATACTCGCTGAATAATTTTTAGCTTGGAATTCTTTATTTCCAAGTTCACGTAGTTGTTTTGTTTTCTCTAAAGATTTTCCCTCCTTAGTTTTGTGCTGTTCATTTAGCCATAAAGACATGAGCCTCCTGCAGACAAGAAATTACAATTCTTTTCAAAAAAATGAAAAATATTTTCCTTTAAAAATTATCGAATTAAAATTACATTAAATTACATTCAAATTAAATTCAAAATAAATTTAAAAAAAAAAATTAAATAAAAATAAAAATTAAAATTGAATAAAAATTAAATAAAAATTGAATAAAAATTAAATTAAAACTGAATAAAAATTAAATTAAAATCAAATAAAAATTAAATTAAAACTAAATGAAAATAAAATTAAAATTGAATAAAAATAAATAATAATTAAATTAAAACTAAATGAAAATAAAATTAAAATTGAATAAAAATAAATAAAAAATTAAATTGCATTACATTAAAATTAAATTAAAACTGAATAAAAATACAATTAAATAAAAATGTATTTTGTAACAAACAGAATATTGTACAGAACAATTCAACAAAAATTATTTCAAATTAAAACTATAATAATTTTCAACTATAATAATTTTTGTTTGTTTGTAAAAAAAAGTTCGTCTTTTATATAAAACAATTGTTTGTTCTTTTATAGAAGAATTTAATATTTTTTAAACGGAAAATTTCTGGAATTCTAGTTTTTGAAAAATTGATTTTTCAAAATTATTATTTAAATTAATTAAAATTATTATTTATGTAATATATTTAAAAAAATTAATTTTCCTTTTTAAAAAAAGAAAAGAAAAGGTAGTTCTTAAATTATTGAATTAAAATTACGATAAACAAATTAAAAACACAGAAAACGAAATTAAAAAAAGGAAGTGTTATTATACTTCGTTTTTTCAATTAATAATTATAATTAACGAGAATATAATAAACCGCAATTTAAATAAACATTCTATTAAACAAGAGCAGTATTTCTAATAAATGCAAATTTACCACCATTATATGAATGAAATATGCAAAATTATTAATAACTAAATTCTTATTTTCAATTTAGAAAAAAAAACAAGTTACTTTGACATTGAAATAAAAACACGTGACATGAAAACAAATATAGAATAAATTGTATAATTAAAAAGTACAAGAAATTAAAAATCAATGAGAGAAATATTTAATTTAATATTAATTATAATTTAAAATAGAACAATAAACAATAAATAAATTTTTCCCACGCAGAAATAATTTTGTAAAATAATAAATTGTTCCCATTTTCTTCGATAAAAAAGGAAATTTTTTCTTAATTTTCCTACTTAACGGAATTTTAATATAATTTGCGCATGAAATAATTTACCACACTCACGTTGAAAATGACAAGAGAAAAATAATAGAGAAAGAAACATGAAAATAAAAAAGCAAATAAGAATGTCGCAGACGAACAGGATTACATAGTTTATGCCTGTTTATGAAAACTAGGTTTCCATGTTTTCACACATTGAAATTAAATCACAATTCCAATTTATAAACTATTAAGCTGTAAAAATCAAAAAGAAACAAAATGAAAGGTTTTCTTTGTTTGTGACGAGGGAGAGAAAGAAATTGAACACAAGCTTTGACTCCCATTTTGATTCAAAGAAATTCTTCAATACCCGACTTTTTTTTCTTTTTTAATTTCTAACAAACGATCTATTTTTTTTAATCTCCGCGAATAAATTTCGCCATTAAATCCCCCTCCCATTCTTTTCTTTCTATTTTCCAGTCTTTTCTCACGATTTTATAATAAAAATTTTCATGATCGTGAAAAAAGACAATGACACAATGCAAATATATACAGAACAAAGGAATAGACATATTTTTTTGGAAAAAGAAAATAAAAACAATCTAAACGAATTGTATATTAGAAAAAAAATCTCCTACCTTACATCCGGATCTGCCAAAAGGCATAACATGACTTCGTTTTCGCATTTTTTCTTTGCCTTGATATCATAAGGCATACGAGAATTTCTCAATTTATTATTAACAGCTTCAAAGAATTTTTGCCACTGCATTATTAACAATCTTATTTTTTTACCGTCTATTTATTATTTCAAAACTGATTTTAAAGCACAAATCAAAAATTGTAACTATAGGATAATAAAATGGTATATGGTGTAATGAGCAATGGAGAAAAAAAGACGATAGGATCTGTCCGCAAAAATTTGTTTTGAGGTTATGGTTTAATTTTTGATTCACCACATAACCGGCATCGTAAATTATAAACTCGTGGGACCTTGTAAAAGGCACTTGATTTTATTATTATCTTTATTGAAACACGATTATAAACAATAATATTGTTGACAATATTATGATTGTGAGAAATTATACGAATGATTATGGGATTATTTGTATAAGGTTTAAAAAGCTCTATAGCGTCAAAGATTTTGTTGCACGGCAATCGCAAAACCAGTCTAACAACTTGACAGATTATCTATAAAGTTATCTTCACCTAGGAAACATTTGTCTACGCAATCATTGAAGGAATGTCATCTTAAATTATCTCATCATCTAGATCAAAGAAAACATATTCTAATGGTGAGTTCACATTTCCTTTCTTTAAAATTATTTTTTTTTTGCACAAAATTTAAATTCAAATCCTCCAAAGGCAGAAACAAACAAACAAAGGGATTTTAATGATTAAATTAAATTTTATAATCTAATTTTTTGAATTTTATCTTCTTTTACAAAATTTATTTGCTCTAGAAATTAAATTTCTTGTCTTTTGTTTATATAAACAATTCCTTTGTGTTTCGCGCCCTAACCTAAAAATTGGCAGCGAAATTAATTTTTATTATTTTATTTATTAGAAATTAAAAAAGAAAGTAAAAAAATATTTAAGAAAAATGTAAAAAATTTGTGGAATACAAAGAAAATTTGGGGAAAATTTAGGAAAACTTTTAGGGAAGAAAGAAAAGTAATTTGAGAATTGGAAAAACACATAATTGAATCATTGTATTAGATTTAATATTAATCTATATCATCAATATTATAATAATAACGTATAGGCACAGTGTATAATATGTACAAGCAATAATTTAATATTCTAAATAGCAGACTTATAAAGAAATCACAAATATTTATCAAATTAAACACAATGATTTTTTTATAATCAAAAATCAAAGTTGTTCAAATTGATTCAATTTTTTTTTTTTTTAAGGGGAGAACTTCGACTACTTTTTTAACTATTATCAAGAAAATAATTTAAATCTTTAATAAAATTACTTTTATAGTAATTTGAGAAAATCAAAGGTCTGAAAATATTCTGCCTCTTTTTCAATTTTTTTCTTAAAAATTGATAGACTTTAAAAAATTCATCCGTAATTTTGTAGAAAATATGTTTTTGTATTCACAAAAAAATTATTTTTATTATGTTTTTGAAAAAAAAAACATTGTTTTGAAGTTGAAAATGTTAAAAAAAATCATTATTATTCAATTTTTTATATGGAAATTCACTCGTTTATTTTTCTAACATAATTTCAAATCATAATTTTATCATAATTTTTTTGTATTTCATACTTTTTATTTTAAAAAAATTCACTTGGTTATTTTTCTAATTTCAAATCAAAATTTTATTTTTATACTTTTTTTTTAAATTATGATTTGATGAGCAATGTTTAAAAAAAAAATGCTTCAAAAATAATAAGAACCATTTTTTTCACTTGGCAATTTTTTTGTGAATACAAAAACATATTTTCTAAAAAATATGAATGGAAATATCGTATAGATTTTAAAATCTATCAATTTTTAATAAAAAAAAAATCGAAAAAGGGTCAGAATATTTTCTGAGCATTGATTTCCTCTCTAAAAATTACTATAAAAATAATTTTATCGAAAATTTAAAATCACTTCCTTGATATAGTTAAAAATTTAGTCGACGTCTCCCCTTAAATATTATTATTACAACCATTCGCATCATAAAAAAAACTTTCCCACGACACAAATACAGAATTTATTTAATTTTTTTCTCAAAAACACACACTCTGCATTCTAAACATTAAAGAAAGTTTTGTAAAAAAAATATAATAAGTACATTCTCATATTTTCCAATTAAAAAACAAAAATATAATTTTTTCTCTCTTTATACAATTTTTTCAACGACACTTTAATTCCAATGGGAATCATAATTTTGGTTTCTTTCACTTTTTTCTCGTATTTAAACTCTAAAAACTTGAAAAATGGAAAAACATTTCAATTGTCGAGTCAATTTCAACAATTTTATACATTTTAATTAAGGAATTTTTTCTAAATCGAGATTTTTCGTAATAATAAAGAAAAGTTTCATAGAATTCTATTAAATAAATTCAAGAAATTATTTGAAGTTGAAGTTTAAGGAGAAACTGAACGAGGCGAAGAAATCAATTTTCTCGTACGTTTCAAACAAAAAGAAAAGCGAAATAGAAACTAAAATAAATTTTTTTTCAGTCATTCACATGATTATTTCCATCCCTGCAATAGTATTAACAATATAAATTAATTATCAAATGATGCAACAGTATCTTATCATCTTATCTTAGGATTCAGTTTTTCGAAATTCAATCATGATATAAAAAGCTTGATATGAGACATAGTTTACGAAGAAGGGACCACCGAGTCTTTTTTTCAAATAAAAAAAAAACACCGCGAGGTAGAATTCTTTTTTCTTTTACTTTCAAAAGAGGAATTTTAATATTCCTTTTTGATAAAAGAATATTTAATTCTTTGTCATTTTTTTCTTTCGCATTTTTTTTTTTTGTTGCAATATTCAATTATTATTCTCCGATTGATACAGAGATGATAGTAGATCTTCATACCGTTGCATATCAGTTTCGAAAGTTTCAAGTTTCTTCGTCAAATCGCCCACTTGATCGGCCAACGTTAATTCCTCCGTGAAAGCTTGCAATTGCGGTGCACTTTGACATTCCCTGTAAAAAACTCCTAGATCGCTATTTGTATTTGTCCCTGCAAATGGCGTTTTCTGTAAAAGAAAAAAAGAATTAATTTTTCTGTTTCTTTTTTTTTTGTGAAAGCAAATTAAGTACTTTTTGTTAATTTAGTTTCGAATCGACACGAAACTGAAATTGTAACAAATATTTAATTTAATAAATTCTTCTTTCGATTTTAGGAAGATATGTGTGTAAAAGTTGACAGAAAAAAGTCTTTCACTTTTTTATAAAATAGACGACGTTTCGGTGGTCTGGAAATCGAAATATTATCAATTACAATCATTACATCAATTTATTAAGCAAGGGGAATTTATTACTAAGAATTTGTACATCTTCCTTCTTGTTAATAGTAAAATTATTGTATTTAATATTTAAATCTTCTCAGAAATTTCTTTTACGATTTTTCGGAGTTCAACCTCATAAAAAACAATTATTTTTTATGAGTTTGAACTCAGGAAATTTTTTCAAAACGAAAAATCAGAAAATAAATTTTTTTTTAAGTTAAATTTATCTCTAATTTTCATTTGTTTTAATTTTTAAGAAATTTCAAAATTCAAAACTACCTCTTTCTTTATTTTTCATTTTTATTGGAAAACTGATAGTTTTTCACGGTAAATTATGTAAAGTTAAAAAATGTGACAACAATCGGTTTTCAATCAAATAAACAAAAAATTGTTCAAAAAGTTGTTTTTATTTTCTTGATTTATTGGAAAAAATCTCAGCTTTCCAATGAAAATATAATAAACTCTTTAAAAAAAAGAGGTAGTTTTTGTGAAAAATAAGGTAATCGCAAAATTTTTAAAATTCGTTTAATTCATTCAAAGGGTGGTCACAATTTTCAGTTTATCAATTTCCCTGACAATTTACTGACATTAGAATTATTTTCCCTGACAAAATTTTTTTTACAGAAAAATATGAAATTAAATTAAATTATTTTCTACAATTTCCAACTACATTTTATCTCTAAATCAATTATTTTAAATAAATTTTCGAAAGTTCTTCTAGAATTCAATTATTTAATTATAAAACCTCAATTTTTAATAAATAATTGAAATTTGATAAAATCTTTCAAAAATAATTGAAATTTGATAAAATCTTTCAAAAATAATTGAATTTTTGAAAAATATAAATAAAAATAATCAAATTTTTGAAGAATTTTAATTATAAATATGACCATGATTTCTCCGAAATTTTAATAAGTATAAAAAAGTAAATTTTTATTTACATTGTTCAAAGATAATTGAATTCAAAAAATATATTATAGAAGAATTCTAAGAATTAGTTTTTAAAAACATTTTATTAATTTTTCGAAAATAATTGAATTTCATAAAAGACTTTTTGTATAATTTAAAAAAACTAATTACTTTTTTTGAATTTTAATTAAAAATTTTGAACCTATGATTTTTTTCTCTAAAATGTTAAAAACAATTTTAAAATATTATTTTTTGTGTATATTTCAATTTTCGGAAATATGTATTTGAAAATACTGAAAATATTGAATTTTAAAAAATTAGAAGCTAATTTTCATTAATTATTTCATTTTTAAATGTCCATTTAAAGATTTTTCATTAACATTAACATTAAAATTTAATTATTTTAAACAATGATTCAAAAATAATTTTTGAATAATTTATTTATAGTTATTTTTTGCACCATAAAAATCGAAAAAAGTTGTTTTTTATACTGAAAAATGTCGTATTTTGTTGCAATATTTGTAAGAAAAGTCGAAAAAGTCGCAACTTTTGAAAAAAAATTGAAAAAGTTCTCAATTTTCTTAATTTCTCGGAACTAATGAGACAATAAAATAACTCTATCACAGAAAAACAATGTTCTTCTTTTGTTGAATTAGATGAGGTGACAAATAATTTATTAATCTATTAGAAGAAATAGATTTTCGATACCAATTAGTGATAAGTTGATTACTGTTTTCTATTAAAGTCATATCTGAAAAATTAATTTTATTATCAGCTTGTAGTTCATGAGAGAATTTCAAGTTAATATTAAAAGAATTAGTATTGATTTTTGATATCAATTAGTGATAAGTAGATTATTTCGAATCTATTAATGTTTTTTTTAAATTTTATTAATGTTTCTATTAATATCTGAGAAATTTATTTTATTATCAACTTTTGTAGTTCACTGATTCACAAGTTAACTTGAAAGTTAATATTAAAAGAGTTGAAAGTATTAATCAAGTTCAACTTAATCTTTATGACCGCATTTACCTCTTTTACACACAAATCTTCCTAAAAATCAAAAAAAGAATTTATTAAATAATCATGGAAGGATAAAAACATTCATCTAATATTAAATTCAGTGCAGGCCTCGGATCGACTTTAAGGAGCAAAAAAAGTCGCTTTAGAATTTTATTTTGTATTCCCGATTTTACCCTTTCACTGATTTCTAAATTCAATTTTTCAAAACTTGAATAATTTTATCGAAATAAATTTCCTACATTTTATACCTAAAGTATGGTTTTTCCGGCAAAACTTGGAAAAAAAGTCAAAAAAAGTCGTATTTTTTTGAGAATAGTCGAAAAAAAGTCGAAAGTCGATACGAGGCCAGTCAGTGCTAAAAATTCGTTTTACATATAAAAATAATGAAAATAAATTCTAACAAGTATATAGAATTACCAGGTCTACCATAATGAAGTCGTCGTTTGCACTGGTGATCGAACAACTGCTTCGTCTCGAGCCATTTTGTGAATTACATTTACAAGTTGCATTGTCATTTGATGTTTTCTCAGTGTTTCCATTACTGCTGTCAGTCGCCGCTGTTTCTGTCGTTGTTCCCGTTGCTGGGCCCGTTGTCAATGTCGTTGAATCCGTGCCCGACGTTGGTAATGGTGGTGAATTTTGCCTCGAGCTTAACAACGAACTAAATGGAACATCAGGAATCACCAAGTCCTTCTCATTCACCACCACCTGTTTATTTAGAACGAATGCTCCAACCTTGATTGTATCGCTCAGCGACTTTGACGTCTCCTCACTTTAAAAAAAGACAAAAAATCGTTAAAAAAAATTATCAACCCTTTTTTTTGCAATTAATAATTTTATATTAATTATAAAACTAATTAATTGTAAAATTAAAGTATATAAAATTAATTTTTCTAAAGAGAGTAGGATTTTTTCACCTCTGTTGATATCGAGCGTGCCTTGGACTCAGATCCGAATGAAAATGATCACTTTTAAGCATTATTGAATCGCGCCCACTGTAAGTTGGCGAAATTGTCATTTTCGTTCGATATGAAACTGATAAATAAATTGTACCAACTGGAGTGCATAATTGTCCAACTCGCACGCGTTTGTAATTATCACCTGTAGAAAAAAAACGTGACAATTTAAAATTTCTTTGATATTTTTTTCTTCTTTGTTTTTATTGAATTTTAATCAATATTTATTCAATCAGTTCAATTTCTTCGTTAATATCGCAAAAAGTTACTTTTACTTTTTGCGATATTTACGAAGAAATTGAACTGATTGAATAAATATTGATTAAAATTCAGTGAAAACGGATTTTTCAACATAAAAAAAGAATAAATAATTTTCTAATTAGAGTAAAAAAAGAATTTTTTTCTTTTACCTAAAATATGAAGTTGAGGTTCTCCCATATAAATTCTATAGCAAATAATATACGAATCGGGACCTTGTCTTCGACTTAATTTATAAGCGGGCGTCACTCTCGATACGGAGAGTAAGGATTTAAGTAAAATTCCCATTCTATTGTAAACTGTGTATGTCACTCGAATTGTGGGATCACTTTGTTCGGGCAAAACACCAAGTGTCCATGTCTCCAAAACCATCGTGTCACCCTCGACCGTTCGAAGTGAAATTTCAATGCACAATGGAATGGTCGAACTAATTATATCACTGCACAAAACTTTTCTTGCTTCCAGCAATACATCCGGCAGATCTTGAATTGCCAAATTAAACTGCAATGAAAAATATTATTAATATAAATTAAAAATTAACTTTAAAAAATATTAATACACTTTAAAAATAATCCCGAACGTTCAAATTCGCAAAACAATTTTAAATTATAATTTTAAAAATCAAAAAGAAAATTGCAATTACATTTCACTTGTTGTAAATAAACAATCAACAGTCTTCGCACTTATTTATTAAAAGCTACTATTTATTTTATTACTTTTAATTTGCTAATAGTTGAAATAAAAAAAATTATTCTCATATTTTCAAATATCTTAATAAAATTCTCCCAAAAAGTTCAATTCTTTTCATAAATAACAAAATTCTTTGTATAAATCCAATTCTTTTCTTATATAATAAAATTCCTTGCAGGAATTCAAATAAAGAAATTCAAGTATTTTAAAAAATTTCAATAAAATTCTAGTCAAAAATTCAATTATCTTCACAAAAAACAAAATTCTTCGTAAAAATATAATTATTTTCAAAAATTTTAATTCAATTCTTCAAGGAAATTCGATTCTTTTTATACATAAAAAAATTCTTAGCAAAAATTGAATTCTCTTTAAAAATTTCAAAAAAATTATTCTCGAAAAATCAATTACTTTCATAAATAATAAAATTCTAGTCGAAAATTCAATTCATAGAAAAAAAAATTCTTCGTAAAAATCAACTTATTTTCAAAAATTTTAATTCAATTCTTCGAGATAATTCAATTCTTTGTATACGTAAAAAAATTCTTAGCAAAAATTCAATTATTTTCATAAATAATAAAATTCTAGTTAAAAATTCAATTATCTTCATAAAAAAGAAAATTCTTCGTAAAAATTCAATACTTTTCATAAAAAATAAAATTCTTCTCAAGAATTCAATTATTTTTAAAAATTCCATTATCTCCATAAATAACAAAATTCTTCCTATAAATTCAATATTATTTTCAAAACATTTAAATAGAATTCTTTGAGAAAATTCAATTCTTTTCATAAATAATAAAATTCTTCTCAGGAATTCAATTATTATAAAAAATTTTAATAAAATTCTTGGCAAGAATTTAATTACTTTGATAAATAAATAAAACTTACAGATGTATTTCAATTATTTAAATTTAGAAAATAATTGTATTTTTGAAGAATTTAATATTAAAATTTAGAAAATAATTAAATTTTTTAAAAATTTTAGAATTGAAATTATTATCAGCAGAATGAGAAAAGAAAGTAAATATTTTTTATGAAAATTAGGAAAATGTATAAAAGGAGTTTTTTTGTTGTCAAATTTTCGAAAGCTACTTTTTCAGTTTTAAAGCTTTTTTTTAAAATTAATTATCGAGTGCAAAGCCTGAATCAGTCGTATTTAAAATCATGCGAAAATCAATATAATTCATTAATAATAGCAATAAAATAAAAATAAAAATTGCAAAACAAAGAAATATTTACCCAATCAGTTCCCGATGAATTTGGTTTACATTTTGTATTGAATTTTTCACCAATTCTCGATTGCACAATAATTTGAGCAGCTTTTAATGCCAAAAATTTAGTAAATTTATCCAAGTCCTTTTTATCTTGCATACTTAATTTTAATGTTGACATTTTCTTTTTGCAAAAAATAAATTTTCTCTTTTTTTAAGAATTCTCATGAAAACAAGAGAAAATATTCAATAAACTTGTATGTATCATTAACTGTGACGCATATATTATTGACATTTCATAAATACCAAACATATTTTTCGCTGACATATGCAAAAGCTGTCAATTATAGAGGAGAGAGATTGGAAAAGAATACTCTAAATAATGACCTTTTAATGTTATCAAACATTTGTGTTATTATTTATTATTAAATCACTTATCACAAATAGACGTAGTAATTGATTATTTTTCTCTTTATTGAATCACATTCCAATAATAGGTTTTATTTTTCTTTTCATCTGTCACTATTAGTAAAAATTGCAATAAATTTCCACACCTTAAATTGTTTTCCGTTTTCGAACAAATGGAAACAAAAAACACTTGACACTTTCTGGTATTAGGGAAAATTGTTTTTCAATTCTTTTTACTAAAAAAAACTTGATCATTTAATAAATTTATTCGGGAAAATGAGAGAAATTTCCCTTCACAAACTTGTGGGCAATCGCCATTGTCGTGAATCGTGAAACATAACCTCACTTTTTCTAAATTCTATAACTTTTCTTTCTTAAATTTGTTTAATAGTTTGAAATTTTCCAGTAATTCTGCTTTTTTTAATTAGACAATTTTCTACTGTAATGTGTAATTTGTTTTTTAATTATTTATTTTTTAAAAACAGGACATTTTTTTATAATACACGCCTTATTTTTGATTGGTCTATTCTCACGTGACTGCCACACTTTTCGCGGGATTTTTGAATTGACAACATTTTAAAAAGATGGGTTTATTGTTTTTTGTTGTAAATATTAACAACTTGGGGGGAAAATTTTTAGAAAATACTGTATAATATTTTGTTGTTTGAATAATTTTGCACTAAAGAAATTAATAATTGGGGAAAATGTAATGTTATTTAGTTGTAAAAGAAAAAAGGTGTCGCTAGTGTCGGGAGTAACTACCAGTAATAATCGATTATTGCCACTCCCCACCAATTCAATTTCATTGTTTCCGTTTTTTTGTAATGGCGTCATTCCACATTCCATTCCAGTCTTTCTTGTTCAGTTTGGCGTCGTCTGCCTGCTAGTCATTACACTATTTAATTTAGTGTAAGAAAGAAAGGGAGAAAAAGAGAGAGAGAGAGGAATTTCCGGTGTGTGTGCGATCATTTTCAGAGAGAACTACGTGTAATTGTAGCGTCTCTTCCATAATATCAATGTAAGTAAAAATCCACTTTTATCCAACGTATATTCTTACCATCGTCTAAGTTTATGCCGATAGAAAAAATATAAATGCATACAAAAATACACGATGCACTTTAGTTTTTTCCATTCTGTTAATTTACACTTTGTTTAAACAAAGAATGCACATTCTTTTCATATTTTCCTTCTCGGTCTTTTTTTACAATAATAAATATCAAGGTTAGAATATTTGTTTCTATAACAAAAATGTTTTTCTTTCAATAATTCTTTCTTTATCGATTATAATTTATAAATGGAGTAATGGCGTCTTTAGCATCACGCTTGTATTTTACCGGATGTTTTTATTTTACTTTTTATTGCTTGTTTTCCTATTTCTGTACTTTATTTTTTTTTCTATCTTTTTTTTAATTTTATTTGAGTCTTTTTTTGTTTTTGAAATAGCGTTAAAATGCGTTATGCGTTAAAAAAAAGGGGGGCAAAAAAAACCGTTTTCGTGTAAAATGGCGGATTTTTCCATGAATTCCGAGATCGGAGGGATTTTATTTCGTACGTGGCATTAAATGAATTATGTAATTTTATTTGCTTATCAAATTTTTTGGTGAATTGGTCGATAAAAAGTATATGAACGAAAGATTATTTTTTTTCTATATTGTAGATAATTTGAAGGTTATACGAAAAAGATTTGAATAATTTGATTGGTTGGAAACTTTCCATAAACTGGGAATTTTCTTTTTAAAGGTCGAATTTGTTCAGTTGTAAATTATAAATTCAGGGTTTATTTATATTCTCTACTTTCTTGTAAAATTAATTTCTATTTTAATATTGTAAGAGAAAAATAGTTTTTTGACTTTATTTGAAAAGCGGATAATTTTTTTTTTTAATAAACAAAACAACTGGGGAGGAAGAAAATTATAGTTTTTGAAAATTGCAACTTTTTCGACTTTTCTACCTACCAAATATTGCAATAAAATATCAGTTTTTAATATAAAATGCAACTTATTTCGATTTGATTATTACTTTTTATATTTTTCAATTATTTTTAAAAAACTTTATCAAATTTCAATCATTTATTAAAAATTGTGGTTTTATAATTAAATAATTGAATTCTAGAAGAACTTTCGGTAAATTATTTAAAATAATTGATTTAGAGATAAATTTTATAGTTGGAAATTTTAGAAAATAATTTAATTCAAGTTTTAGAAATTATTAAAATTCATAAACTTTACTCATTTTCCGTAAACTTTCATATTTTCCTGTAAAGAGAATTTTGTCAGGGAAATTGATAAACTAAAACTTTGGCCACTATATGAAAATTAATTTTTAAATTAATTTTAAAATGATGAATCTAACAGATAGGGACATCAGATTTTTCTGTGATTGAATTATATCTGTTCTGAATATAAATAATTTCTTTTTTATAATTCTTATCATTGTATTTCTTTGTGGAGGCTAATGATTTGTTTTTCTTTGCAGAAATTAGAAAAAATGGCCGATAACGACGATCTTTTGGATTACGAGGATGAGGAACAAACCGAGCAGGTTGTCGATGGAAGTGGTGATGCTCCTGCCAAGAAGGAAGTTAAAGGTACATATGTGTCAATCCATAGCAGTGGATTCAGAGACTTCCTTCTTAAGCCGGAAATCCTGCGAGCCATCGTCGATTGCGGCTTTGAACATCCTTCTGAAGGTATATAATTTTCATTTCAAAACAAATTGAAATTTTGAAGAATAAGAAAATTTGAAATCAATTTCTTTACTTTATTTTCTAAGCATTTATAAATAGTAATTGGAAAATTGTATGATGACTTTACAGATAGGGACAACTGATTTTCTATCATGATTGAATTATCTGTTCTGATTTTTTATCGAACTTGTGAAATTTCCTTTTTTTTCGCTAAAAATTAGAGAAACTTATGGTTTTTTCTTTTTTTACAGTTCAACACGAATGCATTCCACAGGCAGTGCTTGGCATGGATATTCTTTGCCAAGCAAAATCCGGTATGGGAAAAACTGCCGTGTTTGTTCTCGCGACACTTCAACAACTTGAACTCACAGAAAATCAAGTCTATGTACTTGTAATGTGTCACACGCGAGAACTTGCATTCCAAATTAGCAAAGAGTACGAGAGGTTCAGTAAATACATGCCCCAAGTTAAGGTGAGAAATATTTCATTTCTATTGTTATTTTAAGAAGTTTTTTTTTAAGGATTTCGAATGATGTAAATTTTTTCTTAGCCAAAGAATGATGACAACCATTTTACCACTACCCACTACTGATGAAACCTTAAAATAATTTTCTTTTTAACATCCTTTTCTTTTTTTTTAGAGCAAGATTATAATTTTTTTCTTCTTTTTAAGGTGGCTGTATTCTTTGGAGGTTTGCCTATTCAGAAGGATGAGGAGGTTTTGAAAAGTTCTTGTCCTCACATCGTAGTCGGAACACCAGGTCGTATTTTGGCGCTAGTCCGGAGCAAGAAACTCAATTTGAAGCATTTGAAACACTTTATTCTGGACGAATGTGACAAAATGCTCGAACTATTAGGTAAGTTTAGTTCTTTTTGGAAAATTTTTTGAATTGTTTTTACCAGATCCAAATGATGTAAAATTTCTCTTAGCCAAAAAATGATGACAACGATTTTTTACCACTACCCACTACTGATGGATCTTTGAAAATTAAATTAGTGAAAAGTTAGCAGGCTTCGCGCTCATCTACTAAAACCTACTATTTACTACTTTTTTACGTTATGATACTATTTGGATACTTTTTTTTAGATTTCAGCCACTAAAAGCTACTATTTCTGTTTTCTTTGAGAATTTTTTTCGCTAATACTAGAATCACATTTTTATAAAATTCTTCGCAAAAATTAAATTATTTTTATAAATATTGAAATTTTTTTAATGAATAATAAAATTCGTTGCGCAGGAATTCAATTTATTATCTGGATAAGAAAATAAAAAATATGGATTAGGAATTTTTGTCAGTTTTCTGAAGTGTCTAAAACGAGTTTTTTCGGTCGTCAAGTTTAATTTTTCGATAGCTACTTTTTTAGTAATTTTTTTTTTTAGTTTGAAAGCTGCTACTTTTTACTACTTTTTTCAAAATTAATTATCTAGTGCAAAGTCTCAGTTATCTATTCATTTGTCCTTTTTTTCTAAATAATTTTTCTTTCCTTTTACAGATATGCGAAGAGACGTACAAGAAATATTCCGAAGTACACCACATGGCAAACAAGTGATGATGTTCAGCGCCACTTTATCAAAGGACATACGACCAGTCTGCAAGAAATTCATGCAAGATGTAATTAGTCAAAAATCTTCCTGTTCTCTTCGATCTCCGTTCGTCCTCACTTGGTCCCAGGACAAAGCTCATAAATCTCGATCGAGGCGCACCCGCGGTTTAGGATAGTTTCCGCTTTCAAGAACGCTATTCTTTGAACAAAAAAAAACACACACTAGTTTTCTGGGGAAATAATGCCTTAAAAAAACTCCCAATTTCCTCGATTTGAAAATTCCAAACAAAAAATCCTACGAAAAATGCTCCTTTGAGAAAATCCCCCTGCAGAAGTCCATCAATAATATAATCCACGTCTGTCAAAATCCTCGTCTGTCAAAATCCTCGTCTACCAAAATCCGATATCCATCAAATATACATCTCCATATCGACCAAAATCATTTTTTTTCCTACCGAAAAAACAACCTTCCAAGTAGGAAACAATTCCTTGTTTATAAAATCAAAAAAAAAAATCTTCAATAATAAAAAAAAGTACGAGAAGCCAAAAAGGGTTGCAAAATTAGAATTTATAAAAAAAAATTAGTCGAGCATGTTCGATACAAGTTAAACAAGACTTGGATGTGAGAGAGAAAGAGGAATATGATATCGAGAAGTCTGGAGTGGCTGTTCAATTTCTGGGGTGCGCCGAGTTTATTCTCTGTCAGGGTGACTGCAGACCGTTTACATTGAGTGTTGGCACTACCGAGAGGTGGAATTCGCCGAACCGTATGTAACAACAGTTAGAAAAAAATAACCCAATCAACGATTGAACATACCTCCTGAAAAAAAAAATTAATAGAGAAGTGGTGGCACGCCTTAGATTATAAAAGAGATCGATTCCTGGGTTCCTAGTGTCATTGAGACGGTTTTTTTTTTAATTTCTTTTTTATTTTAAAAAATTAATTAAATTAACTGAATTAAAATTCCCAATTCAAGAAATTAAAATTTTTGTTTTTTTTATTTAAAGTTTGTATTTCGAGTTTAAAACTTTTTCTATGGTATTTTTGATTTGATTTTAGATTTTTTAAAAAGTGAAAAAAAATGGAGGAATTGTCGGGGTAGAGTGAGTTTTTTTTTCTTTAAAACAAAAACAATCTATTTGTCTACAGCCCATGGAAGTCTACGTGGATGATGAAGCGAAACTCACATTACATGGTTTGCAGCAGCATTACGTGAAATTGAAAGAAAACGAGAAGAACAAAAAATTATTTGAACTTCTCGATGTTCTTGAATTCAATCAGGTTGTGATTTTTGTTAAATCCGTACAAAGGTGTATGGCATTGGCGACGCTATTGACCGATCAAAATTTCCCGGCTATTGGAATTCATCGTGGAATGACGCAAGAAGAAAGATTATCACGTTACCAGCAGTTCAAGGATTTTCAAAAGGTATTTAACCTACTTTTTTTGATATTCCTTTTTTTATTTTAAAACTTGCTTTTAAAAAATTTATTTTCTGTTTTTTGACACATTTTTCAAAATTTGAAAATTTTAACTATTTGTATTTTTACAAATTTACGGATATAAATTTATTATTATAGGGATCACAGTGAGTCCCCTTTTTCCTTTTTTATCCCCTTAAATTATTAAATTTCACTGAAACGCCTAAATTTATACATTTTCTCCCCTTTTCCCCTTATTTTTAAGAAAAACTCATAAAAAATCTTATTTTTTTCGGAGTAAATTTTATTATCTTCGAAGTAAATTTGTTTACACTGAAAAAAAAATTTATTTGACAATCGATTACTTGCTATTATCAATTAAATATTTAATTGAATCAAATAATATTTATTGGAGTCAATTAAATGGTATTTGCTTCAAATATTGAATTATTGGTTCAAATACAATTTTATTGACTCCAATAACTATTATTTGATTCATGGAAATATTTAATTGATAATAGTCAATTAATTAGGTATTTGAATCAAATAAATTTTTTTTAGTGTAATTTTTATAAATCAAAAAAAATTTTCTTTGAAAATAATAAAAGTAATTCTGAAAAATACCAATTTTTAATATTAACTTTTATTATTTTTTAAAGGAAATTTTTCCAAGTCACAAATTAATTTTACTAATTTGAAAATCCCCCTTTTTTTAAAACTGAATCCCCTTTTTGAAAAATAAAATCCCCCTTTTTGCCCAATATTGCATAAAAAAAATCACTGTGATCTTTGTTATTAATATATCGACTTTTAAATAAATCGATTTTTATTTTACCATTTGGATTGGAAGTATTGGCGATTTTTATATGTATTTTTAAAATTTTGAGATTGGTTTGTGTAGTGATTTTTAAAGTGATATGAAGTCTCAGGCCTCGGATATTATGATTTTTTCTACTATTTTCCAAAAATGCGACTTTTTTCAACTTAGTTTTTAAAAATTGCGACTTTCTTTGCTTTTCTTCCAAATATTGCAACAAAATACGCCATTTTTAGTATAAAATGCAACTTATTTCAATTTTCTTTTCTTTTTTTTTTGAGATCCAAATGATGTTAAATTTCTCTTAGCCAAAGAATGATGACAACGATTTTTTACCACTACCCACTACTGATGGATCTTGAAAATTAAATTAGTTAGATTAATTAATCAACTAAATTAATTAGTTGTCGAAATATACAATTAAACAGACAAAAAGATAATTCGAATTTTGTAAGATTTATTTGAAAATAATTGATTTTTGTCAAGTATTTTGTTACAATATTTTGAAAATCATCTTTTAAAGAATTTTAATTGCAAATTTTGAAAATAATTGAATTCTCAAATTTTAATGATTAATTTTCGAGTGTAAATTAAAAAATGAAAATTAGCTTCTAAAGATTATATTAAATATATTTTTAAAAAAATTAATTCTCGGAATTTTTTTCATTCTAATTTTTTTGAAATTCAATTATTTTCAATATTTTCAATCGCATTTTTCAACTCAAGCTTTTAATTTGAATGATGCTTTTGATTTGAATGCTTAAAAAAATTATTGTTTGTGAAAATGGGACTTTTATGAATGAGCGTGCGTAAGTATATGAAATTTGGCTTTTTAAATTTTTGTGAGTATAATTTTTGATTGCTTGTATGAATCTGAAACTATCCGTGAATTTTTTTTTTTATTTCTTTAAAATTATAATTTTTTTTTTACCGAATTGCAGAGAATTTTAGTGGCAACAAATTTATTCGGCAGAGGAATGGATATTGAACGAGTAAATATTGTCTTCAATTACGACATGCCTGAAGATTCAGATACTTATTTACATAGAGTAGCAAGAGCTGGACGTTTCGGCACAAAGGTATTTATTTTAATTTGAAAAGTAACAATTTTAATCAATCGATTTTTTTATTTTCAAATATTTTTATATAATTTTCTTTTTTATTTTCAATCCATTTTATTTTATTTTGCATTTTATATTCATTTTTTTGATTTTTTGTTCTACTTTGTATTAAATTCTTTATATTTTTTATTCATTTTACTTCCTCATCGAAAATTTTATACTGATATTTACTTTATTGTTGTTTTTAATTATAATTAATAAAAAAATGCAGTAAAAAGAAGAATAAAATTTCTATTTTCAATTTTAGGGTTTAGCCATTACTTTCGTGAGTGACGAGAGTGACGCCAAAATTTTGAACGATGTTCAAGAACGATTTGACGTAAATATTACGGAATTACCTGATGAAATTGATCTCGCCTCTTATAGTAAGTTTTTAAAAAAAAATTATTATTTATTACTAAATACTTCTGTTTGGTTTTTTTATTTCTCCTAATTTTTGAAGATTTAATTACGTATTTTTTCAATAGCATTTGTTTTATTTATTATTTATATTCAACAAATACTAATATTATTGAAATTATTATTATTAACTATAAATTTATAATTTATATTATAAATAGTACATTTTATTATCTTTATTACTTTAACGTAAATTAATTTTCCTTTGCAAATTTTTTTCCTATTCTTTTTCTAAATATTTCATTAAAAATGTTTGAAATCCGATTTAAAACTACAATGAATATTAAAAACAAAATTTTTTTTTTGCAGTTGAGGGACGGTAGATTTTAAGCACCTTGAAATTACAATTAATCAAGAAGAATATTCCATTGAATGTTGAAATTGGAACTTGAGAATTCTCGTCGTATGTAAAGGACTAAAATGGAAACTCATCATTTTTATATTCTGCAATCGACTCTCGTTTATGAAGTAATATTTTTTAAGAGTGACTTGTGAAGTTTAATTACAATAATTAAGGAAAAGCAGAAAATTCAATTCCTTTTTTTTATCATTATTATTGTATTAACGTCAAAAAAGAAAACATTTAAATTGAATTAAATGAGAATATTGTTCCTTTAGTATTAAAAAAAAAAATAACACACACACACAAACACAAAACTAAATAAACGGTAAATTCTAAAATCTAGAAGTTACCGCATGAATTTTGAAACTTTGTAGTACGTAATGTAGTTGTATGTAATATCTACAATACAGTACAAAAAAAATGTGGTAAAAGAAACAAGGAAAAAAAACTCGTATTTTGATAACAATTTTTCATTGTCCATTCTGTTGCATTTTTTGTCCAATATTATTTATAATTGGTATCAATTATTTTATAATAATTGATAAGTAATTTAGGATAAATTTGTAAATGTTAAGTACTTACTATTGTATTTAGTTTTTCTTTTTCGAAAATCATTGGAAATCATTCATTCAACTTTCTCTTTTTTTTACTCTAAAAAGAAAACAATTTCATAGAGTATGTAAATAAGTATTTTTTCAGTAGTTTAATAAAATAATGTCTACTCACATTTTTTGGATATTTATTTATTTTTGCCAAAAAAAACATCTCTTTTGTACAAACGTTGAAAATTTTTTATTTTTAACCCTGGTTTATAAAAGTTCCTTCAGCGAAACTTTAAGGAATAGTCTTTTTAAAATAATCTACTCTTAGAAGTATTATATTTTTATAAACATTTAATGTACATTTTTTTATAAAAAATAAATTTCAAAAACTTGTCACTAAAATATAATTTGTTTTTATTCTACTTTTTGGAATTTGAATATAAACTGTAGTATATAATAGAAAATAATTGTATTAAAATTAAAATAACCTGACTTCTTAGAGTTAAAATTCAGGCCTCGGATATTGACTTTTTCGACTTCTTTCGACCATTTCTAAAATAATGCGACTTTATTCGACTTAACTTAAAAAATTGCGACTTTTTCGACTTTTCTTCAGGGTGTCAGGAAATGTCAGAGAATTTCATTCAAAGTCAGGGAAATTTATATAAAAATTAGAATTGTTTGTTTAATTAAAAATTTTTTTTAATCTTACAAAACTTAAAAGATTTTTATTACCGTTTGTTTCTATCATTAGATATTAATTTATTGTTAAATATGTCAGTTATCATATTTGGTGCCAAGAAAGCAGAAATAAAATTAGTAAAAAGTCAGGGAATTTTTTTCTCAATCCTTGTTAGACGAAGAAAGCTTTGTTTCGAAATATTGCAACAAAATATCAGATTTTAGTATAAAACGCAACTTATTTCGATTTTTATATAAGGCGTGAAAAATAACTATCGACAAATTTTTCAAAAATTATTTTTGAATAATTTTTCTAATAAAATTTTCGAAATATACAATTAAAAAGACTTTGAATAATTGAAACTTTGTAAAATTTAATAGAAAATAATTGATTATTTCAAAGTATTTTGTAACAATTTTTTAAAATGGTCTTTTGAAGAATAATAATTGATTACCTATTTCCAAGTAATTTGTTACAATTTTTTAAAATTATCTTTTGATGAACTTTAATTGCAAATTTTGAAAATAATTGAATTCTCTAAAATTTTAATGAAAAATCTTCAAGTGCAAATTTAAAAATCAAAATTAATCAAAATTAGCTTCTAAAAATTATCATTAAAATATTTTTAAAGAAAGTAATTCTCAGAATTTTTTCATTCTAATTTTTTAAAATTCAATTATTTTCAATATTTTCAATGACATATTGTCGAAAATTGAAATACATATACAAAAAATAATAACACTATAATTTTTTAGAATAATTTTTAAGTGTTGGAAAAAACAAACTTATTCAAAATTTTTAATTAAAATTCTTCAAAAAATTAATTTACTTTTTTAAAACAATACACAATTTTTTTTTTAGAAATTCAATTATTTTCGAACGATTACATTAGAATATTTTTAAAAATTTACATTTTTAGACAAATTATTAAAATTTCGAAGAAATCATGTTTAAAAATTTGGATATTTTAAAAATATTTTTCAAAAATTCAATTATTTTTAAAAGCTAATATCAAATTTCAATTATCTTTCTAAGATTTTATCAAATTTTAATTATTTTAAAAAGATTTTATCAAATTTCAATAAGTTTTTAAAGATTTAATCAAATTTCAATTATTTTCAAGATTTAACCAAATTTCAATTCATTTTAAAAAAATTTAATTAAATTTCAATTCTTTTAAAAGATTAAACCAAATTTTAAATATTTTTCAAAGATTTTATCAAATTTAAATTATTTTTTTGAAGATTTTATCAAATTTCAATTATTTTTAAATGACTTTATCAAAATTAAATTATTTTTTACAGATTTAACCAAATTTCAATTATTTTTAAAAAATATAACAAAATTTCAATTCTTTTTAAAAATTTTAACTGATTTTCAATTTTTTTAAAAAAGATAAAACCAAATTTCCAAATATTTTTAAATGATTTTATCAAATATCAATTATTTTTTTAAGCTTTAACCAAATTTCAGTTTTTTTTTAAATTTTACCAAATTTCAATTATTTTTTAAAAGATTTAACTAAATTTCAATTATTTTTAAAATTTAACAAAATTTCAATTCTTTTTAAAAAATTTAACAAAAATTTCAATTCTTTTTAAAAATTTTAACTAAATTTTAATTTTTTCTCTAAAAAAGATTGAACCAAATTCCAATTATTTTTTGAAACTTTAACCAAAAATTCAATTATTTTTAAGATTAAAAAAAAAATTTGAATTCTTTTTATAAAATTTAAACAAATTTCAATTCTTTTAAAAGATTAATAAAGTATAAATTAATCAAAAAATATAAGTATAAATATAAAAAATATAAATGTAAATTAATCAATTATTTTTTAAAAACTTTTATCAAATTTAAATTATTTTTTTTAGAGATTTCACTAAATATTTAAAAAACTATATTATCTTTAAAAAATTTTAAAAAATATTTAAAACAATTTTTTTTGCGTCTTAAAGTCGATCCTAGGCCTTTATTGTAATGAATATATATTTGAAGATTCAATCTTCTAGTTCAATTTTAACATCTTCTATCTCAATATCGAAATTTTCGAACATTTCACTATATTCCTGTTTTACGACAATATCAACAAATTTCGTATTTATTAAATTTGTATCGAAATTATTTTTTGGTTCAATCTTAAAAATTTGCGAATTTTCACAAACTTCAACATTATCTTTGTCTCGACAAATATTGTCATTATTGCACAATGAAAATTTATTTTCATTTAAATTATTGATTGTAATTTCTTTGTCATTATTTGTTTCAATTTTCCCATTTTTGCGCTCTATTTTTTTCGAATTATGCTCTCGTATTTTATGCAAGAGCATTGAATGTTTATGTTTATATTTCTTCAGACAAATATCACATTCAAATGGTTTATCATTAGAATGACTACCCATGTGAACAATAAGATCGGATTTGGCGTAAAATTTTTTTCCACACGAATTACATTCGTAAAATTTCTTTAACGAATGTACACAATTCTCGTGTTTTATTAAATGTGATATTTTTACAAATCGTTTATGACAAATTTTACATGATAAATGTTTTTTCAACTCGTGAACATCTCTGATGTGTGTCATTAGATAACTTTTTTGTGAATAACTTTTATTACAAATATCGCAGACAAATGGTTTTGCGCCAACGTGCGTTAAAATATGTTTATTCATTTGTTGTTCACGCGAAAAACTTTTCTCACAAATTGGACAATCGTGAACGTCTAAACATTTCATGTGTATTTTAATATGACGCTCGATATTACGATATGTTGAATATAAATTTTTACAAATATCACATTCGTAGGAGTTTGCTTGAATATTCTTTTTATTATTTTGATAATGAATTCTCATGTGATTATTAAGATAGATTTTTTTCTTAAATTTCTCCTTGCATTGTGTACATTTAAAAATGGGTTTTGAATTATTGTGAAATTTCTCTTCATGAAGCATAATGTCGGAAAGTTTTGTAAATGTTTGCGAACAAATTTTACATGTTAGTGAATTTTTCTTTTTATGCACATGCAAATGTGATTCGAGATCGTAGAAATTTTCATAAGCACGTTTACAAAATTGACAGCGTAATAATTTTTTTTTCGAATGCGTTTGCATGTGAACTGCAAGACGATCGGCGCGACGAAATGTTTTTGGACAATTTTTACATTTATGTGGTTTACAATCGTCTTTCAAGTGAATCATTTTATGCGCTGTCATATTAGTGAGACGATTAAAACTCTTCTTGCAGATATTACATTGAAATGGTTTTTCATTTGTGTGACAAATGTTGTGCATTTTTAAATGATAATTTGTACGAAATATTTTATCGCATTTGTCACATGGAAACGAACGTCCGGATTGATGATAAAGTTCGTGATTTTTTAAATCCGATTGCCAAACGAATACTCTTGAACATATTTTACAAACTAATGGTTTTAAATCATCGCGATGTGTCCAAAGATGTGCTGATAAATCGCGTTTTGTTGAACAATTCTTTTCACAAATATTACATTCAGTTAATTTACGACATTTGTGACGTTTTAAACCTGTTGATGTTGAAAATGTTCTTGAACAATTTTTACATTTAAATTTATGTTGATTGTCTGCATCATCATTTTTATTTAATTTTCCTCTTCTCATTTTACTCATATTCTGAAATAGAGTTTAAAAAATTAAGGAACGAAAATTCCTGACATGCTCTGAAGAAAGATGAAGAATTTTAGGTTATGTTTATAATTATTTAAATAAAAATACACGAAGAAGAGTCACTCTTTATATAAATCACTGATGTTCAAATCTTTATTGCATCCAAAATAATTAATAAAAACGTATTTTAGTTTTAAATTAAACAAAGAAATTTTTAATTAAGGTAAAAATGAAACAAACATAACCTAAAAATTACTTCTTACTTTCATCGGAGCGCGGCATATTTTTGAGGCGCATGCTTATTCCCGAAATCTTTTTCGACCAAATAGTTATTTGATATAAAACTACTTAACTTAAAATTTACATAATATGAACATTAATTGTCATAGTCATTTATCAAAATTATACAATCTTTTCCCCTTTTTTATAAAAAGAAAAAATTCGCCCTTAGAATCGCTTAGTAAAATTAGGTTCAACATGTAAAATTTCAAATTCATCAAATTTTATAAGATATGGATCATTTTTTGCAAATTTGTCAAATGATTGCTAATTGAGGGTTCGGATCGAAGAACCGACGCTTCGCAATGTTCTGTGCGTTTACAAACGTCGGTTCTTCGATCCGAGCCCTCAATTACATTATGATATTTTTCATTCTTATTAATATTTTTAATAATCCTAATTATAATATTAATGTTACGGAAAAAAATATTTTGTTAAAAGAACTAACCTTTTTAGCATTGTCTTCCATATTTATTTGTAACTACAGTAATTACTTTGCTTATTCGTGATTGGATTATGGAATATAAAGGACCATAACAAAATGATTTATTTAATTAATTCGGAATTCAGTATCTGTTGTAAATGTTTTATTTTCTTTTGAACCACTTTTTGTTTAAGTAATTATTAAAGAAAAACAATAGATTTTCTTTATTTTTTTTTTTACTTTGTCAGCTGATTAATCAGCACATTGTCGATAAAAGGAATTCCTAAGTTTTCATATTTTATACGCTTGCGTAGAAGAGTAAAACGTCTTTTGAATTCAAACAATATTCCCGCTTAAATGAATCTTGTAATTACTAATTAGACCTCTTTGATTTATTTATCACTGACAAACTTTATAAAATAGTTTTATATTAGTAAAAAGATCTTCATACTAGATCATGAATAATATTTTGAACAATAATTAATTTTCGCAGCAACAAAAAGATCTTCATGACAAGTAGCAATTCGCGTTAGGAACGTTTAAAAATTTACAAACTTTTAAATTGTTCAGTATTTGGTTTTTATCATCGTTATAAATTTTTACTGGTAAACAAATTTTTTTTGTTAATATTTTTTTGTCATTTATAAATGTTTTAATTTTATTCTTCATGTTAAAACTACAGAAGGATCTTTACAGAATTAAAAAGTTATAAATCCTGCATTTATTGCAATGAAATAAAAAGATGAGTAATAAGATCAAATAATCCGAGAAAATATACATATAATTGAAAAAGTCGACATTTATCTTTGCCGGAAACATTTTTTTCTTCCATATTTACAAGCTCAATGTTATTTTCTATACTGTCATGCTCTTGCAAAGTTTATTCTGGGATTTTATTAGCTTGTAATGGAAATTATACCTTATTCCGATATCTTATATGTTGACTTTGACCTGATGTTGAAGAGACGTAGGTGCGTGCCTACGTATATACTAAAATTTATTCCTGGCTTTTACTTAGAATCCTTCCAAGTATTTGGCATATTTCTTAAGTGTTTGCTGAACACACACATATGTAGTTAATATATATCTTTTGTACTTATTGGGCTTAAAATCCTACGTGGGCTATACTTTTTCTCTTTTACGTGCCTAATACGCTGAATGCTATATATAATATTTATTTCAAACATAAGGGACAAACCCTTTCGTACAAAAGTATTTTTATATAGTCTAAAAATTTTAAAATAAGAACATTTTTTAAGCAATTACATGTAGTTTTAGGACATTTATCGAATTTTAAGTATAATTGCCCACACAGCATAGAAACTTTTTTAAAAGTTAAAATTAAAATTTTCAAAAATTTGAAATTAAACAACTTATAAAAAATTGTTATAAAACAAGAAGAAATCGATCACTCCGAGTCTTCGACTCGGAATAATCGCTTTCTTCATGTTTTATAATAATTAAAACTTGCTACTTTATCAATTTTTTAAAAATAATTTTTGAAAAAGTTCTTTGAGAATTTTCAAATTTTTTTTTACAATTTAATTTTATGAAATTTCAAATATTCTGACAGTCCTCAATTAATTATATTAGAAATTAAAAACTTTAAATAATTAAAAAAAATCCCATTAAACTTTTGAAAAAAAATTAATTCTATACAGAATTCTTAATTAAAAGTATAAAAAGTTCAAAATTTTCAGAGATTTTAATTTGAAACCTTTTGAAAATTCAATTATTTCTAAAAATCTACACCATAATGCTTTCAATATTAAATTATAATCTAAAATTTTAACTGAAATTGATTTTTAAATCAATATTTATTAGAAAATTCTACGAGAATTCAATTATTTAAAACTACAAAAAAAATATTTTATTAAATAATTAAATGTTTCTTAAAATTAAATTTTCATATAAAGAATTTTATCAACAAAATTTTTAAATAATTTAATTCTCTTGACAAATTTTAATAAAATTTTTAAGAATAATTTCATTTCTTGAGAAATTTGATGAAAATTTTTAAGAATAATTTCATTTCTTGAGAAATTTGATGAAAATTGTATTAAAAATAATTGAAATTCTGCCAAGAATTTTATTATAATTTTTGAAATTTTTGAATAATTGAATTTTGGAGAAGAATTTTATTTTTTATACAGATAATTGAAATTTTGACGAGAATTTTTGTAAATTTTTGAAGATAATTGAATTTCTGCGAAGAATTAGAATATACTTTTGAAAATAATTGAATTCCTGAAACGAATTTTATTAAAATATCTTTTTCAATAATTGAATACTTTTGTGAAATTCTATTGGAAATAATAGACATTGAAAATAATTGAATTTTGACAAATTTTTGAAATTAATTAAATTTCTACGTAGAATTTTAAGAAAATTATTTTGAAAAAAAATTGTATTGTTACAAAGAATTTCATTATTTAATGAAAATAATTCAATTTTTTGAAGAAATTTAATTAAAAATGTATTGAAAAATGTATTGAAAATAATACTTGAATTGTAATAAATAAATTGTAGCAAAAGTTTTTTAAATAATTGAATTTCTTTGCTGAATTTTAATAAAAATTTTTAAGAATAATTACATTTTTTGAGGAATTTCATTAAAATTCCCTTAAAGATTTTTAAAAAATTGAAAGTTTGCGATGATTTTTTATTATGAATTTATGAAAATAATTAAATTCCTGTAAAAAATGTTATTATTTATGAAAATCATTGAATAATAATTTTAAATTAAAATTTTGTTAAAAATCTTTAAAAACAGGTGAAATTAGTTTTTGAAAAAAAACAGTTTTTTAAAAAACATTTCTGGAATTTTGCCTGTTAAAGATTTTTAAGAAAATTTTAACTTAAAATTAAAAAATGTTGCCATATATAAAATTCCGTAATAAAATTCAAAAGTATGTTATATAACGTTTGTTATTTGCAGAAATATTGTTTGCATACTGTGAGAAAATAATTTTCACTATTATAACATTTTCTGTATAAAGAGAATAAGCGCGGTATTATAAAAATGTAAATGCATATAATGTGCACGTGCCTTAGAATTACAAGCAAAATTATATGCCCTCTGGTGATAATAAAATGAGCATATTTGCGTATTATGAAGGCAAAACGCCATGCAAAATTTAAATTTCTATTCATTTAGGAAGGTTGTTTGTTGTTGGAAAAATATCAGGAATCAGGCAAACTTATTTCTAAGTTCTCATATACGTCTCTAATGTTTATATGGTAGAATTTAAATTCTTCTGGTAATTTTCACCTCATACGAAAACTTGTAGAAATAAGCCTTCAATATACTTGATTCTTCTATATATTTATAAATTACAACTAGGGTAAAAATTCTATATAAAAAATTTATATTTAATTTTTTCTAAAATTCTATATAAAAAATTTATATTCAATTTTTTAAGAATTCTATATAAAACATTTATATTTAATTTTTTTAAAATTCTGTATACAAAAATTTATATTTATTTTTTTGTCTCTAACGTTTATAAAAAGATGTTTATATGCTAGAATTATGACACAACAATTATTTTACGACTCTACTAATAGTATTTGACATCTTAGGGAATAATGAATGTCGAAGTCAGTTATAGCATTATAGAGTGTAAATTTGAAAGTTTCTCGGAAGTTTAGTGTGTAAGAAGCTTGTAAGATTTGATCCCGTTCGCGCGGGATTTATCGCGCATGCTTCTTTACTATCTCGTGTCTGGGCAACCTTCTACCTCTTCTCACCCTTCTCTTGTATGTCTCTATGTCTATACCATTTGTTTGTGTGCGTAAGCCATTCCTCCTCGTGAAATATATATCCCAACTTATTTGAAATGAGAAAAAGTGAGAAGGGAAGAAAATCGAAAAGAGAGATGGTGGACCAGTAGACGAGGCCAGTTCTGGTCAGGCAGCCTCACACGACCTCTCGTACGGTGACTCCTGTCCACCGATCTCATTCAAGATCAATATTCCATCGATATAAAAATACAAATTTTTATTATTTTAATTCTCTGTGCGCAAAATATTTATTATTCTCGCGAAATTCATTTCTTTAATATTTAGAAAAATTTGAATTTCCTCAGTGCGTTAATATCAATTTTTTGGATTATATACCCATTCTCGCGGTAAGTTTTTCGAAAATATTTGTGATTTCATCAAATTTTTCTTTCATTTCTGTCTCGTAGGAAACTTTTTCATATTTAAAAATTTATTTATCAAAAAGGCCGAAACTTCTTTAATATTAAGAATTCGTTGTGTATATTTTGAAAAGAAAGTAAATAACAAAATAAAAATTAGAAATTAGGTTTAATGCAAGTGTCGAGGGTAGAAAACGCGTTGAAGAAGAAAAATCTACAGTTTTCTTCAAAGTATCAAATTGATACCAAAGTAGATCAAATTGGTGGTAAAAATTAGGATCAATTTTTAATTTAACCCAAATTTTTGGTATCCGTTGCACTTTGATACTTTTAAGCTAACAATGAATTTTATGATTGGAAGTACAGTTTGTTAATATAATATATTTATATAAATACTATTTAATAAATATTAGATAAATTTTAAGTAATACTATGAGTAAGATTTGTAAAAAAATATTTATTTCCTAAGATTTCTATCTTAGAAAATAAATATTTTTTTAACCGATATAGCAAATTTTATCCTTTTGAAGAAAAAATGTAAATTTTCGAGATGAAAATATTTTTGTTATGGTTGAATAGATTATATTGTGAACATAGACATTTCCTCCTTTCGAGTTTGACATTTACCCTAAGACTGACATTATAGTCTCTGACTGGTCTCTGACAAATCAAATCCAGTGAAACATGAGTGGGAAACTTATTCATAATTCCGTAACAGCTTTAATATAATATCCATTTATTAAAATGACATGCAAAGTTTATAATTTTTCCCGTCTGACATTCGATATAGATTTTCATGCACTTATCAATAAATTAATTTCTAAATAATTAATACACTTTCCCTCAATGACTTTCGGTTTTTTAACCCAAAAGAATATTAAAAAATAAATTATGTTCCAAAAAAAGAAAATTTTTTAAATTCGTAAAATTGGGAATTAAAACAATTGTATTTTTTTAGTTCATTGGCCAAGAGATGAAATAGTAAAAGAATTAATGAATTGATCAATTAAAATTACGATATTTCGTAAAAAATTTCAATGAAATCTTTTTGAAACTGAGTTTGACTCTTTAAATTCAAAGTGGGCAATGTGCCAAAGACACCGACTCTCGAGAAAATTGTGGCGCTGACGCCTCCACCCAAGTCCAACACGGCCGAAAATATCTTTTTAGATTAACAACACAATATTTATCTATAGAGAGGATTTTTTTCAGGCATTTCTTTTCTTTCTTTTCTTTTTTTGTTTTTTTGTTTTACGACCGACTATATTGACAAATTCTCTGTAAAACCATTTTTATAATTCTTGAGGCCAAAATTAAAAATCTTACTCATCAGTTCTTAATTTGTTTGAGCCATTATATACTATTTATACAGTATTATATGTTTGCATATTGACGCATTTGCGAAGGAAAGAATATGTTATTTTTATTTTTATTTTAATATGTTATTTTCAATAATGTGCTGAATGTTGATATTTTAACCTTTTTATTAGATATCATTTAGGTATAAAAAGAGACTTTGTTATTATCATCTTTTAATTTTTATTTTTAAATTAATTGACTATTATTAATTAAATATTTAATTGAATCAAATAATAGTTATTGGGGTCAATTAAATGGTATTTGCTTCAAATACTGAAATTTTTGGTTCAAATACCATTTAATTGACTCCAATAAATATTATTTGATTCAAATATTATTGTAAATATTTAATTGATGGTAGTCAATTAATTGGTTATTTGAATCAAATAAATTTTTTTTCAGTGTAGTAATAATAAAAGTTTTTTGAATTTTTTACTCCCATTTTATTCGATTCGACTCTCGAGATTTTGAATTTTTATTATTTTCCCCAACAGCAAAACCGTACTGAGAAAAATGATCTATTAAACATAAAAAGAATTTCCTTACAAATGAAATACTTTTATGACAAAAGGATTAATTTTAAGTAACAAAAATTCATACGCGATTCACAGTTTTCTTGAAAGTATGAAATTGATACTATTAAGTGGATCAAATTGATGGTAAAAATTTTGATTAACTATTGATTTGATCCACATTTTTGGTATCAATTCGATGTAATTTGATACTTTTTAAGGGGGCCCCCTTTTTAAGTTAACAGTGTTTATAAGATTGGTCGTTTAAAATCAGGTCTGTCATGAAAATCATGATTTTTTTTATTTAAATCATTTTTTTATACTGTTTTTTAAATATTTATTTTTAAGTATAATTTGTTTTTTTTAATATTAAAAATTAAAAAATTTATTAATAATAGGGTGGCTGCAAAAATTTCATTTTCAGAATTCCCTGACTTTTCCTGACTAATTTTTCGTTTTCGTTGATTAACACATTTTTAAATTATTTAATATTCTGCATTTGATAATTAAAAATTTAATAATGCTTTTTAAGTAACAATTTTATTTTTAAAGAAAAATAAAAATAAATAATAAATATTACCTATATTTATTTATTTGTTTGTTTATTTATACGAACGGCCAATGCCCGTTTATCAAATATTATACTTTTGTCTTAAATACAAAAACTAAATTTACATTTATCAAAGTTTTTTTAATTGTGATTTTTTTTCGATTAAAATTTTCAAAAATTAATTCTTCTGTATTTTGAAATAAAAAATGAAAATGATCGCATCCATTTTTGGTGAGCTCGCCAGTTTTGATATTACAAGATCGCCTAATTTGTTAAATTTGATATGCCCACTTGACGTCAAAAAACATTCTGTCAAACCTACATAGGTCTTCAATTATTCCAAAAGGAATAATCAGCAGCATGAAAAGTTGATTTCACGCACTTATTATTTCATTTCCTCCTATAACTTTCCTTATAATAATTCATTCATATTTCTGTTTTTGTTAGTCAAAAAAAAAAAAAAAAAAAAAAAAACTTTTATAGGCATTAATATTTCAGGTTTCTTACGTCACGAGCAGGGAAATAATAATAGAAAAATGTAAAAACCTTAAAGAAAATATAAAAATAGTTAATACCTATAAATATATAATTCGTTGTTATCACGTGGGATTTAAATATTGTGTAAGCCATTGGCATTACCATATATGAAGTAATCGTTTATAATCATTTATTATGAAGATTTAGGAATATATAGTGTTTCATTTAAAGGCGATTTGTCAAAAGTTTGTTGTAATTTAAATACATAGATCTATGTATAGTTGTGGAAAACAAATGATCTTCAAATATAACTTTGCAAAAAGGCTCCTTATGTTTATTCCGGTAATATAACATTGCGTCTAGTAGCGATTGGTGCCAAGAGGCCAAGGAGAATGTATTCCAAGAAACACCATGGGTTATGTAGAGCTAAATTTTTTTTTCTTTTTGTAAATTCAAATAACGTACTTTTAGTTTCAAAATTGAACTTTTATTTTTTGTCTAAAATACTTACTCACTGTTAACTATAAAAAGTATTAAATTGCAACGAATTGATACAAAAAATTTGGATCAAATAAAAAATTGATCCTAATTTTTGGCATCAATTTGATCTTCTTTGGTATCAATTTGATAATTTGAAGAAAACTGTGCTTTCAAAAATATCCCAATTGTAGTGTTTTTGATTTTTTACTACAAAATTTTTCTAAGGATATCAAATTGAGACAAAAAACGTATTAAAATTGTTGCGAAGCAACGTTGACACAGTTTAGGGAAAAGTCAGGGAAAATAGAATTGATCAGGGAAAAGTCGGGGATTTTTAGTAAAAGTACTGCAAAAAAAATTGAATTTCTAAAATTCATAAGAAAAGAAGAATTTTAGTTAAAAAATACTAAAACAAAAATGAATTTTGGAAAAGTTTCAAATGATTGCAAAAATTCAATTATTTCTAAATGTTATAAAAAATACTTCGCAAAAATTCAATTATATTCAAATTTTTTTTTTAAATTTTCGTCAAAATTTCAATTATGTTTACAAATAATAAAATTCTTCCCCGAAATTTTCAATTATTTTTAAAAAATTTAATAAAATACTTGAAAAAATTTCACAGGGATTCAATTATTTACAAAATTTTTACTAAATTTCTTCGAAATAATTAAATTATTTTCATAAATAATAAAATTTTCACATGAATTCAATTATTTAAAATACAAAATTTCATAAAACTATTTTCGAAAGAAATCAATTATTTAAAAAGATTTTTATAAAATTCGTCGCAAGAATTAAGTTATTTAAAAAAATTTAACAAAGTTCTTTTTAAGAATTTAATTATTTTCAAAAGCAATAAAATTCTTCGTAGAAATTCAAAAATTTTTTTTAATTGTCGTCAAAATTTCAATTATCTTTATTTATAATAAAATTCTTCTTCAAAATTCAATTATTTTTAAAAATTTAAATAAAATTCTTGGCAAATTCTACAGGAATTCAATTATTTACAAAATTTTTACTAAATTTTTCCAAAATAATTCAATTATTTTCATAAATAATAAAATGTTTACATGAATTCAATTATTTATTATTTAATTATCACAAAATTTCATAAAATTTATTCGAAAAAAGTCAATTATTAAAAAATATTCTTAAAAAATTTGTCGCAACAATTAAATTATTAAAAAAATTTAACGAAGTTCTTTTCAAGCATTTAATTATTTTTATAAATAATCAAATTCTTCACAGTTTAATTATTTTTATAAACTTGAATAAAATTCGTTGCAAGAATTCAATTATTTTCAAAAGCAATGAAATTCTTCGCAGAAATTCAAATATTTTTAAAATTCTCGTCATAATTTCAATTATTATTATAAATAATTAAATTCCTCTTCAAAATTCAATTATTTTTAAAAATTTTAATATACTATTCTTGGCAAAAGTCCACAGGAATTCAATTATTTAAAAAAAAAATTTAACAAATTGTTCTTTTCAAGAATTCAATTATTTTTATAAATAATAAAATTATTCACAGGAATTGAATTATGTTAAAAAAGTTTTTGAAAATATTCCCGTCAAAATTTCAAGTATCTTTATAAATAATAAAATTCTTCCCCGAAATTTTCAATTATTTTCAAAAATTTTAATAAAATTCTTGGGAAAATTTTAATTATTTTTAAAAATTTTCCTGAATTCAATAATAATTTTTAATGTCTACTATTTTAATAAAATTTTCCAAAACAATTCAATTATTTAAAAAAAATCTTAATAAAATTCTAATATTAAATAGGTAGGTATTTAATTATTTTCATAAATAATAAAAAATTTCACAGAATTCAATTGACCATTTTTTAAATAAATTTCTTCTCAATAATAATTCAATTATTTTCATAAATAATAAAACTCATCGCGGGATTCCAATTATTTTTAATAAAATTTTAATTTCAATTCTGTTAAAATTAGTTCAATTTTTTAATGATGTATTTAATAAATTTTAATTCCTACTAAAAAATAATAATCATTAAATATTTATTTAAAAAAGAAGTTATTGATGTTTTCGAATAATTTTACAATTAAAGAAATTTGTAAATAAATGTAATGGAAAATTTTTTTGAGTTTCTAATAATTTTTAGAGTGAATTAGAATATTCTTTAGGGTCAAGGAAAAAAACAAAATTATTCAGGAAAAAGTCTGGATTATCAGGGAAAAGTCAGGAAAAAAATATTAAATTTTCGTGGCAACGAATTGATACCAAAAAATTTGGATCGAATCAAAAATTGACCCAAATTTTTTTGGCATCAATTTGATCCACGCTTTAGTATCAATCTGATATATACATTAAAGAAAACTGTGCTTTCAAAAATATCCCAATTGTAGGGATTTTGATTTTCTACTACAAAAAAATTTTTCTTCTTAAAAAAGTTATTATACGTTTCCAAAAAACAATTTTACTTCAACGATCAAAATAATATGTAAAAATCTTTTTTAATACTATAGGAAATGTATTCATTTCATAATGAAGTCGTATTTTTCAAGAGTTAATTGAAATCACTTGACTTACGATGAGAACACGCACGTTAATTTTTTTTGTTAGTTTTTCATCGCTTACAATAACTCGTTTCAGGAAACGAACAGTAGTGTGCTTTATTCATATATACATATACAAGATACGAGAATGAATGTATAAAAAAAAAACTGGAGTACCATAATTACTTATAAGAAATCTTAAACGATTTAAAAAATTTGCATACACGGGAGGATGTGTATAATTTTCTTTAATTGTATAATAATCGTAAATAATAATTAAATTGTTAGCTATAAAATTTATATTTCTAATTTATAATTAATATTTCTAAAAAAATTTTAGATTCACGAAAAACACATGCAATTTATTGTCCTTGATCTACATTTTATGGCAAGGTTAACATGCTGACGAATTTTTATATTATGAACTCCCATATTAGGTATAGAATGTCGGATTCGAAGAAGATAAAAGTAAAAAAGAAAAAATCAAATAAGAAGAGTTGTGGATCCTTGCAAAGTAAAAGGTTTTTTTTTTAACAATACGATGTGACATTGACATCGAATTTTCGAATATAATGCGACTTGTATGACAAAAGGAGAATTTAAAATTTAAATTGTGCGAAGAAAAAAAGTACATTTGGTTTAAATGGAAAAAATAGTAGTTATTTATTGTCGAACGTCGATTGGGTCAAAAACTAAGGGGGTGAATTTAATCATTGGACCAATGTGTCTATTAAATTTATACCCTTAAATATTTCTTAAAATATTTATTTTGGGGCAAAAAATGGTTGGAACGAAAGTTGTTGGGCTTAAAAAAATGTAATAATAAATTTTTTTAAGCTCAACAACTTTCAAAAAACCCAAAATATTTATGGGGTTCCATTCTTATGCCACACTCTGTATGAAAAAAAAATTTATTAATATCTTGATAATATTATCAAGTTATAAATAAATTATTTTTCTATTATTTTCCGATTAAAATTCTTAAAATTTGTCCAAAATTTAAATTCGGCTTTGGTTAAAAACCAAATTTGAAAGATTAGTATAATTTTAGAGCCAATATTACAGTAGAATAAAATTTGCATATTAAGTAAGGTACTTATAATTTTTATAAAAAATTTTTTTTCAATTTGTTGAAGAATTGGTGCGAGAGGGTTGCAAAGTGGTCGCAATGCCATCGACAACGAGGGAAAGCTCACACATGAGCAAAAAGATCGTGACTCACAGTGGTCCTATATCGGGACAGAGCCACTCAGCAGCCACGGCCAGCAACCTCGAGAGCAACTTAGGTAAACTTCAATATATTATCGATGTGGCAACAGGCCTAATTTTATTTTTCCTTTCAATTTAATCGCCATTCGACTATATGCAGTCCGTTTTCAAGGAAAAAAAACCCCCATGATTGCAAATAAAATCTTGAATCATCTTTAGTGATTTTCAAGAAATTAATATTTACTTTCGTCACTTGATTGGATACCCATGGTTCGTTCCCAAAAATTTCTTCAAACGTTTTTCAATTCAAATTTTCGGCATCAATTTTATCCAATTTACTACCACACACTTCGCACTCGATAATTAATTTTAAAAAAAAGTAGCTTTCAAACTAAAAAAAAAAGTAGTAAAAAAGTAGCTATCGAAAAATTAAACTTGCCAACCAAAAAAAAAATCGTTTCAGACACTTTACAAAACTGACCAAAATTTCTAATCCATATTTTCTATTTTCCTGACTTTTTCCTAATTTTCATCAAAAATATTTACTTCTTTCTTATTCTGCTAATTAATTGAATTCCATCAACGAATTTTATTATTCATGAAACAATTTAAATATTTATAAAAATAATTCAATTCTTGCGAATTGAATTGAATTCTAACGAAGATTTTTACAAACTTTTTTTTTAAATATAATTGAATTCTGTTTGGAAATTTTATGAAAATAGTAGATATTGAAAATTATTGAATTGCGAAAAGTTTTTAAAAATAATTAAATTTTACAATGAATTCAATTAAAATTTTTGACAATAATTGAATGTTAGTGTTGTATGTATTTTATTAAATTTGTTTGAAAACAATTGAATTTCTAAAAAGCATTTTATTACTTATGAAAATAATTGAATTCTTGACAATGATTTTATTAAAATTCTTTAAAATAATTGAATTTTCAAGAAGAAATTTATTACTTTAAAAAATAATTGAATTCTTGTGATGAAAATTTGTTATTTATGAAAATAATTGAATTTTTCAAAGAATTTTATTAAAATGTCTCAAAATAATTGAATTTTCGGGAATAATTTTATTATTTTCGAAAATAATTGAATTTTGCAAAGAATTTTATTAAAATGCCTCAAAATAATTGAATTTTCGGGAATAATTTTGTTATTTTCGAAAATAATTGAATTCTTTCGAATAATTATTTATGTAGATAAATAATTGAATTCTTAGGAAGCATTTCATTAAAATCAAAAAGAATAATTGAATTATTTAAAAAAAATGTAACTAAAATAATTTATTTCTTTCGAACAATTTTATTAAAATATTTCAAAATAATTGAATACTTGCAAAAGATTTTATTAGAATTTTTTTAAATAATTGAATTTCCAAGAAGAAATTTATGACTTTTAAAAATAATTGAATTCTTGTGATGAATATTGTTATTTATGAATTATGAATATAATTGAATTTTTCAAAGAATTAATTAAAATATTTAGAAATAATTGATTTTCTGTGAAAAATTCTAATATTTTTTGTAAATAATTGAATTCTTCCAAAGAATTAAAAAAAAACATTTTTTCAATAATAAATTTTTCGAGGAATTGAAATTAAATTTTTAAGAATAATCCCATTTTTTCCAATTCCTGTAAAATTGTATTTAGAATAATTGAAATCCTGCGATGAATTTTATTATTTATGAAAATAATTGAAATCCTGCGATGAATTTTATTATTTATGAAAATAATCGAATTCCTAAAAAGAATTTTATTATTTACGAAAATAATTGAATTCTTGCGAACGATTTTATTATTTATGAAAATAATTGAATTAAATGCGAAAAATTTTATTAAAATTTTTAAAAAAAGAATTGATTTTCTGTAAAAAATTTTGTTACTTTTGAAAATAATTGAATTCTTCATAAGAATTTTATAAACATTGTTTTAAATAATTAATTTTTTCGAAATATAATAAATATTATGAAAATTTTGATTTTAAATAATTGAATTCTTGTGGAAAACTTTATTTTTGAAAAGAATTGAATTTTTCGATTAACTAATTTAAAATAGTATTAAAAATAATTGAAATTCTTCGATGAATTTTGTTATTTATGAAAATAATTGAATTGTCGCTTAGAATTTTATCAAAATTGAATTTTGGATGCATTTTATCAATTGTTTTTTAAATAATAAATTGAATTCTTTTGCAAAATTTTATGAAAATACTAAATTATTGAAAATAGAATTTTGAATATTTTTTGAAAATAATTGAATGGGGTACGAAATGAATCATATTTTCCAGAATGTTCATGTTATTTCAATTTAATTGGTTCCAAAAATTGTGTGTTCTAAATTCATATTCTATAAGAGTCTTTTATAAATTCAAAATAAAAGTTTTCTAAAATATAAGAAAAAATATAAATTAAATTTTTTTCTTATCCGTGTAATGATTCACAATTTCTGAATGTTTTTTTCCCAATATAAATATTTTCATAAATTACTGCCTTTACAAAAAGTAAAAACAAAAGTAAACATTTCAAATTTTTATAAATTATTTTTTTAACAGATCACTCAATATTATATTGTAATAAAAATTTTAATTTAAAGGAGAAATAAATCAATTTCGTTCATTTGAACATTAATAGAACCTTTAGGGGCATTCCGTGTGGAATAAATTTATAAATTATGGAAAATTTTCTAGCTTTTTGTAAAGACAAACTTTGAAATTCCTTTAAAATAGAAAACGTATTTTTTTATAAAATTTTTTTATAAAAAAAATTTGCGATTTTTTTATAAAAAATCGCAAAGGAAGTCAAAATCAGAAATCAGATTGTTATATATGATTTAATAAAAAATTCGTGGTGCGTTTTAACTTTTAAATTAAATAATTTAAAATAAAATGAAATTAGTGATATTGAAAATTCTTTATCGATGATTTCAAGGCCATGTTTTTGATTTAAAAATCCGCCTGTATGCATTTAAATGATAAATTAAAAATGCCGTGTGGGAGTGCGCACGTTACGTCAGTAAAAATGTCCGGCCTACGTATCCGAACTACGTATGTATATACATGATACATATGTTACGACACGATATACATATACACAAATACGAAAAAAAATGAAATATATCGATTATAGATGTATAACACAACTTTCATATTTTGAATTTTTAAATTTTTAAAAATTTTCCCTTCAGGCAATTTTCAATCAACAAGGGCCAAAAAGAGATTTTTTTTTTAAATGGACTTAAAAAATAATTAACGTCCTTTCGGTAATTAATATAAATTAGTTTTCTTTTTTAAATTTTCAAATTTTAATTTTTAATTTTTAATTTTTAATTTTTAATTTTTAATTAGCAAAGTACAAAAAGAGAAATAAAGAGTTTAGAAACATTTAAAAATTGCACATCAGGGACTTATATATAGATAGTTACAGACCTATTTTTAAAAACGTTTATTTTCCAAGTTGACAATTTAATTTGAAAGGAGACGAATTATGCTATCGGAAAAAGTAGACGCTCCCTTAATTTCCGGCATACTAACACATAGATTCTATATAAATATATAGCACATATATCCTATATACATAATATGTATATTAGTATATATCCTTGTTTGTAACAAGATGTACATCATCAGAATCTCGATGCGATCTGTGCAATTTGCAAAGACTTTATTTATGGGATGACGCTACGTTTGTCTGCTATTGTTATATATCTATTTAAAATTTCCAGGTCGATTGATAATTGTTTTCAAACACGCAAGCAATTGTTTATTTAAACAAAATGTTAATTTAAAAAAATTTTTTCTAAAAATTAATTCTCCATCATCGTAGGAATAATTCTGTTTGGTATTTTTGAAGTCTAGAAATAGTTCAAGAATACCGAACTGGAACGGTATTACATATGAGAAATTTTGAAATGATAAATAAATTTTGCCTGTAAAATTTAAGAAAACTGAATATTTCCAAAGAAAAAAATTTATTTATAATGTTTAAGAGAGAAAGAGACATAAAAATAATCGAGTTTCGTGTATCAAGAGCGGTTGTTTGGATTTCTGTGAATGACGTTCCTTTCATGCACCCACGCTTTTTTTTTAATGGCGTGTCCTTGTAACATATTTTTCTTCTATAGCTTCATCGTTAATAAAATAAAAAAGAAGAGGGAGAGGAGGGAAATTTGAGAAAAAAATTCTCAAATTAATACGAAACTCGTATATCATGAATTTAAAAAGCGAAACTTAGGCCTCTAAGGCCTTAGAGGATATTCCTCTTTTTCTTATTTATTTTCGTGTATTCTGTAAATATTTTCTGCAAATAAAGGGAGAAGAATCGTTTCAAACTTAGAAGGAGTAAAAAGAATTTTTTTAAAGGTGTTAATTAATTTTTGACACGGTCAATTGTAAACTTTGAGTCTCGGGTTTTTGAAAAGTACGCGCACTGTCTGACTAAACTGGAAATTATACAATATATTTCAGTAGTAAGAGTGCGTTTGAATCAGACTGAGACATAAAAGTGTCAGTGATATTATATTTCAACAGGAAGGCTATATTATTTCTTGGCAGCCTAATTCTAATTTTACACGCGTAAAGAATGAACAATTTATGACACATTGTGCAATTTATTTTTTCAAACTACGATAATCATTTTGAAGCACAGTATTTTTAATGATGAAAAATTTATAGACTACTTTGGTGAAAGGATTTAATATAAGGAAGTAGTAAAATTTGTAAGAATTGAAATAATTTAATTGGATGCTAATTCCAAGTAGGATGTAAAAAATCATAATATAAACATTGAGGAAAAGAATCCAGTTTTCCTTCTAATGCCACAGTTTTCTTGAAATTGTCAAATTTATACTAAAGTCAGGGCTTTAGTTTATTTATTTATTTAATTAATTTCTTATTTATTTAATATAATATTTCCAGTGAAAGTATTTAAAAATACGGATTTTACAGACCAAAAATGAAAAATTACGGGACCAATGACAAAAATATAACCAGTCTGAGTCAAATAAGAGAAAATTTTACTTAGAAGTACAAATTAAATTTTTCATAACTATAAAACATGAAGATATCGATAACTCGGAGTGATCGGTGTTTTATAATAATTAAAGATGACTGAGTGACAAAATCATTACTATCAATTCAATTATTATTATTTTCCAGAATTTTTAACTAAAATTCTTCTTTGAATCGATTATTTTGAATAATTTTCGAAAAAGTTCTTTGCCAATTTTCAAATCCATTTGTTTAAAATTCAATTTTACGAAATTTCGATTATTCGTAAATTCTTCAATTAAATATATATTAGAAAATAAAAACTTCAAATAATACAAAAAAATTCAATTAAACTTTTTCAAAAAAATTAATTTCAAAATTCAATTATTATCTAAAATTTTATCTTAAATTCATTTTAAAATCAATTTTTATTAGAAAATTCTGCGGGAATTCAATTATTTAAATACAAAAAGTAAATAATTTATTGAATGATCGAATGTTTTTTTTAAATTGAATTCTCATAAATTATTTTAAATCCTGCGATTAATTTATTAGTTACGAAAATAATAGAATTGGGAAAAAATTTATTAAAAATTAGTAAATAATTGAATTTTTATGAATACCTAATTGAATTTTTGGGAATTTATTGCTATACTTTTGTCTTGAAAACAGTGTGTACAGTTTGGACCTTTATGAAAATCTTTGATGCTAATCGAAAAGTTATGTTCAAATAACTCCTAAACATCCAGAATGTTGTCCATCTGGAGATAAAATTACTCGATAGGAGTTAAAATTTAAAAAAAAGTTTAAATGCGACTACATCTGTAAAAGTGTTCTTGAATGTCGATTTGGTATTGTAATTATTCAAATTCTCTGAATAATAACTTCCAGATTGTGATTATGGTATCTGCAAACAGGATTATCCGATAAAGATCAAAATTTCTCAAAGTTCACAGATTGGTTTCAAAGGAAATTAAAATTTCAAGAACCAAGAAGTGCAGATTAATTTCAACGTAAAGGAGACACGTAGTTTAGTTTAGTTACAGGATGGCTACAGAAATCCGCATTTAAAATTCCATACCTTTTCCATGATTTCCAGGTCAAATTTTTACGAAATTCCAGTGAAATTCTAAATCTAATTTCATTATTTTTATGCTCTTAGAAAATACTTTACTTATTTAATAGTCTCGACTCTTTGGTAAAAAATCTAAAATTTCCAAAATTATCAAAAATTCAAAAATCCGAATATCTTAAAATTCAACAGTTTCTCCTCCCTTTTATGGGATTTAGCTTCATTATTTTTGTGCTTTTGGAAAATACTATACTTATTTAATAGTCTCGACTCTTTGGTAAAAAATCTAAAATTTCCAAAATTATCAAAAATTCAAAAATCCGAATATCTTAAAATTCAACAGTTTCTCCTCTCTTTTATGGGATTTAGCTTCATTATTTTTGTGCTCTTGGAAAATACTTTACTTATTTAATAGTCTTGACTCTTTGGTAAAAAATCTAAAATTATCCAAAATTATCAAAAATTCAAAAATCCGAATTTCTTAAAATTCAACATTTTTTCCACTCTTTTATGGGATTTAGCTTCATTATTTTTGTGCTCTTGGAAAATACTTTACTTATTTAATGGTCTCGACTCTTTGGTAAAAAATCTAAAATTATCCAAAATTATCAAAAATTCAAAAATCCGAATATCTTAAAATTCAACAGTTTCTCCTCTCTTTTATGGGATTTAGCTTCATTATTTTTGTGCTCTTGGAAAATACTTTACTTATTTAATAGTCTTGACTCTTTGGTAAAAAATCTAAAATTATCCAAAATTATCAAAAATTCAAAAATCCGAATTTCTTAAAATTCAACATTTTTTCCACTCTTTTATGGGATTTAGCTTCATTATTTTTGTGCTCTTGGAAAATACTTTACTTATTTAATGGTCTCGACTCTTTGGTAAAAAATCTAAAATTATCCAAAATTATCAAAAATTCAAAAATCCGAATTTCTTAAAATTCTACATTTTTTCCTCTCTTTTATGGGATTTAACTTCATTATTTTTGTGCTTTTGGAAAATACTTTACTTATTTAATAATCTCGACTCTTTGGTAAAAAATCTAAAATTATCAAAAATTATCAAAAATTCAAAAATCCGAATTTCTTAAAATTCAACATTTTTTCCTCTCTTTTATGGGATTTAGCTTCATTATTTTTGTGCTTTTGGAAAATAATTTACTTACTTAATAGTCTCGACTCTTTTTGGTAAAAATCTAAAATTTCCAAAATTATCAAAAATTCAAAAATCAGAATTTCTTAAAATTCAACATTTTCTCCTCTCATTTATGGGATTTAGCTTCATTATTTTTGTGCTCTTGGAAAATACTTTAGTTATTTAATAGTCTCGACTCTTTGGTAAAAAATCTAAAATTTCCAAAATTATCAAAAATTCAAAAATCCGAATTTCTTAAAATTCAACATTTTTCCAACTCTTTTATGGGATTTAGCTTCATTATTTTTGTGCTCTTGGAAAATACTTTACTTATTTAATAGTCTCGACTCTTTGGTAAAAAATCTAAAATTATCCAAAATTATCAAAAATTCAAAAATCCGAATTTCTTAAAATTCAACATTTTTTCCACTCTTTTATGGGATTTAGCCTCATTATTTTTGTGCTTTTGAAAAATACTTTACTTATTTAATAGTCTCGACTCTTTGGTAAAAAATCTAAAATTTCCAAAATTATCAAAAATTCAAAAATCCGAATTTCTTAAAATTCAACATTTTTCCCTTTTTTTTATGGAATTTAGCTTCATTATTTTTGTGCTTTTGGAAAATACTTTACTTATTTAATTGTTTCGATTCTTTGGTAAAAAATCTAAAATTATCCAAAATTATCAAAAATTCAAAAATCCGAATTTCTTAAAATTCAACATTTTTTCCTCTCTTTTATGGGATTTAGCTTCATTATTTTTGTGCTCTTTGAAAATACTTTACTTATTTAATAGTCTCGACTCTTTGGTAAAAAATCTAAAATTATCAAAAATTATCAAAAATTCAAAAATCCGAATTTCTTAAAATTCAACATTTTTTCCTCTCTTTTATGGGATTTAGCTTTATTATTTTTGTGCTCTTGGAAAATACTTTACTTATTTAATAGTCTCGACTCTTTGGTAAAAATTTTAAATTATCAAAAATTATCAAAAATTCAAAAATCCGAATTTCTTAAAATTCAACATTTTTTCCTCTCTTTTATGGGATTTAGCTTCATTATTTTTGTGCTCTTGGAAAATACTTTACTTATTTAATAGTCTCGACTCTTTGGTAAAAATTTTAAATTGTCAAAAATTATCAAAAATTCAAAAATCCGAATTTCTTAAAATTCAACAATTTTTCTTCTCTCTTAAGCTATTTAGCTTTATTATTATTTGAATTTCTATTCAAGAAAAAAAATGGAAAACAGAAAAAATTTAGAAACTTTTAAAAATTTCAGGCCTTTTCCATGATTTCCAGAAGCCTTTTAAAAATTCCATACCATTTCCATGATTTCCATGATTTTCAGATTCTGTAGGAACCCTGTAGTTACACATTGTTTGGAAGTTAATAAATGAATGTCATTGTCACTAATAAAAAATTGAGAAATTGTAGAATTTCTGTTATAGACAACAAAAATCAAAAATATCTTCCATTCATCAAAATGTAACTTTGTTTAGATGCACTATTAGAGGATCTTCAAACGACCGTTTCAAAACCAGAAGCGAAGACAACGACAATCAATCGAACTATTCGTTCAAGTTCGCCATTGGTGGAATACCGGTCAGCTGCCAATTCAAGCAAAACAGTTTCTGAAAGTACAAGGTAATGGTCTTAACTTATTTATTAAAAGGATTTCTTGGCTTTCAATTAAGGGAATTTCTTTCTTTCATTTCTCCATTTAAACACATTTCACTAGCTTGTTAAATCCATTTTTTGTATATATTATAAAAATCTCCCAGTAAACAATCAAAAACATTTAATTTTGAATAGTGGGTTAGGTTTTTTCAAACTAAACTTTGTTTTTAGAACTGTTTCGCCCACGCGGGGCACGACTACGACAACTGAAAAATATATTACGACAGGTCCTGCTGGCGCGCCGTCCGGTATTCCAGGTTTAGAATTGCTAGATAAGGAACTTCAAGATGTAAGTAAAAGATTTTTTATTAATTGTTGAATTTAATTAAGTTTAAATTTTAAAATGAAATTCTTAAGCTAAGAATTACGTCCTTTTCTTAATTTGAAAAAGTACTTCAAGACTATCATTGGTATGTATTTTGAAAATTGCAACAAAAATTAACCTTGGTTCTTGATTCGTATGCTTCCAAAACCGAAATCCCATAGCTGATTTTTTTCTCGAGATTATGAATACGCTGTTAATTTTTTAAAATTCAAAATGGCGGATCCAATATAACGTAGGATTTTTGAGAAACCGATCCGATTCCCTTGAATTTTATGATACTTGGCAAAAATACTATAAAAATCACCATCGTTTATTCTTGTACAAAAAAACTAAACTTTTCTCGACCAGTATTATAAATTCTGCTGTCGTTTCATCAGTAAAATGCAACTTAGAGAAATATTATCAGACAATCTATAACATGATGTTTGTTCTATATCAGCAATCTCAGTTTCTCTTCAAATGGAAATAGTTATTTTCTCTATCTATCGTGACAACAGTATAAAGCAGTTAGTTTTAGCCGGAAATAAAAAAAAACCCATATGATGGGGGTTTAAAGAAAAAAAAAAGTCGAATAACTGCGTATACGCGAGAAATTCGTCGAAATGAGCGAAACTCGTTAACGACAATATTTCCAATGTCGGCGAAACTGTTAAAAGTCACAATAGCCGCAGATACACATAGACGGAGTGATTGTGAGCAACATAACAGTTGATCCGAGTCTTATATGGTAAGCTGGGTGGCGATTGAGATTACCATGGTCCCATGAAAGAAAAGCGTGGGACTGATCGACCGCAACACATTGGACAGCTGTTATGTGTCACGTCATGCTCTGGCTCCAGCCGATTGTTTGTCAATTAATAAAACCTGCTATAGAATTGCAGATCTTATATTTTGTCTCAGTCACATTATTCTCATTCACCTGTTGAGTTCTTATTTCTTAAACGATCTCTCCCCATTTTTATCGCTTGCAATCTCGATCATAACTCTCTTTCCTTATGTACCAATAATTAATTCTTCTTATCGCTCCTGGTGATAGTGATAATTACAAATAGTGATAAAATATTATTAATTATTAATAGTGATAAAATTTAGAGGAAAAAATTGCACAAAGTTTAAAAAAATATTAGTTTTTATAAACTTTTATTTTTACTATAAATTTTCTTCTTTTTAAAATTAATCAAAATTTTATTTAGGTGCAACCTGGTCAAAGCAAAACAGTTGCTTACAAGCAGGTTTCTTATCATTATAACAAGGACTTGGATGGAAAACCAATGGGTAGGTGCAATTAATTATTAATACCAAAACATCACCAACGAATTTTTTTAATCAATTTGGAAACTGTCTTGAACTATAAAAATTTGAGTAAAGAAAGAAAAAAACTAAATTCGTTCTTAATTTCTTAATTTTGAAGCTGAAACTGGCAACCAAGTATCTGTATCAGCACCCACTAAATTTTGATAATTAAAGTTTAAAGTTTAATATTTTTTAAGAAGCTACTTAATTTTTCAAAATTTGATTTTGATGGTATTAAACGTTAAAAATTATTTAACATGAAAATTTAATTTATAAAATTGAGTTGGTGTGATGGATAACTGGGTGTTTCATTCAGCAAAAAAAGAGGAAAAATTTAAATAATAAAGGAATATAAATATATTTATAAAATGGGCACAAACGAGTCATTTTCTCTTAAGCTTTAAAGAATATCGATGGACCTTGCATTGAGACAGTATTTCCATATTTGGATTACAACGGCCTTGCTTGCAAGAACGGTTAATTGACGAGCCTTGAAAACCATACATCCAAAATGAAACATAATTGACATTAAAAATACATTTAGTGGCTCAAAAAATGTCGCATTAATCGAAAATATTCATTAATATCATGATTACAGACTTCGTACTCGATAATTAATTTTAAAAAAAAGTATAGCAAAAAGTAGGCTTTTAAACTAAAAAAAGTAGTACTAAAAAGTAGCTATCGAAAAATTAAACTTGACGATAAAAAAAAAGAGTTTTAGACACTTCACAAAACTGACAAAAATTCCATTCCATATTTTTTATTTCCCTGACTTTTTCCTAATTTTCATGAAAAAAATTTACTTTTTTTTTATTCTACTAATAAATTGAATTTCTGCAACGAATTTTATAAAAAATTTTAAATAATTGAATTCATAAGAAATTTTTATCATTTATTAAAAGAATTGAATTGATTTATTTCAAAAAAATGTAATTGAAATTGTATTTAAAATAATTGATTTTTTCGAATAATTTTATTAAAATATTTGAAAATAATTGAATTCCTGTTGAAAATTCTAATATTTTTATAACTTATTGAGTTCTTCCAAAGAATTTTAAAAAAACCTTTTTTTTTAATAATAAATTTTTTCGAGGAATTAAAATTAAATTTTTAAGAATGATTTTCATTTTTAGAGCAATTTCTGTTAAATTGTATTAAAAATTTAAAAATAATCGAAATTAATAGATGAAGTTTTTATTATGTATGAAAATAATTTAATAGTTGCTAAGAATTTTATTAAAATTTTCAAAAATAATTTAATTTCTAAAAAGCATTTTATTGTTTATGAAAATAATTGAATTTTTAAGAAAAAAATTATTACTTTTAAAAATAATTATGCAAAATTTTGTTATTTTTTAATAAGTAATTAAATTCTTCATAAGAATTTTATAAACATTGTTTTAAATAATTAATTTTCTCGAAATATAATAAATATAATGAAAATTTTATTTTAAATTGAATTCTTGTGGAAAATTTTATTTGCGAAAATAATTGAAATTTTCGATTAATTGATTTAAAATAGTATTAAAAATAATTAAAATTTTTCGATGAGTTTTATTATTTATGAAAATAATTGAATTATTGTGAAAAATTGTATAAAAATTTTGTAAAATAATTAATTTTCTTGAAAATTTTATTCTACATAAATTAATTGAATTCCTATGGAAATTTTATTATGTACCTAGTAGCATAACGTAAAAAAGTAGTAAATAATAGATTTTAGTAGATGAGTGCGAAGCCTGTGATTAAATAAGTGATAATAAAATATCTAAACTAATAACAGATTTTATATATATTTTTCCTTTTTTTAAAAGATCGAAACTATAATTAAAAATATTAATTTGCACAAAGAAAGCTGTTAAAACGAAATAAATCATTTGTATTTCCTGAAAACCAAGATTTTATGGATTTAGTCCAATTGTTACGATATTATTTTGCTTGCTCAACAAAATGATTCTATCAACAGAAATTAATTTTATTTCTCAAGCCAAGTTTATATTGTAAATGACAAAAAGAGTCATTAATTTTTTTTCTCGCACTTATATGATTAAAATGCTTTATTCATTTTATTCTATATTTTGGAAAATTTTTAAATAATTAATAATAATTAAAAACAATTCACGAAATTTAGTTTTTTATTGAAATTGAAATGATTTATTCCATTAAAAACAAAATTTAATTTTCTTTTATTTTCCCCATTATTTCAGATTCGTGGGATAATTTAACCAGTCCAGCCTTGATGTGAGTATAAAGTTTTTAACTTAAAAATACAAAAATAATATCTGAAACATTGCCAAAAGAGAAAAACGCTCATAACTTTTGTTATTTCGAGTGTCCAAAGGAAGTTGGAAATTTTAGTTTGGAAAGTATGTTAAAAGAATAAAAATATGTGAATTAATTATTTTTTTTATAAACAAAAATATTTTCGGAAAATATTCGCAATTACGGAAAGAGAGATTCAAAATATTCTGAATTTATTTTTAGTCATTTTTTGCAAGTGTTTGACGTTCATTTTTTTACGCTCGATTTATAATTTACTGTCTACACTGCAAAAATTAAGTACCTATGTCTTAAAAGTGACTACAAAGTTACTTAAAATATCTTATATTTTTGGCCTAAACATCTTATAAGGTGTATTAAGAAATTTTGTAGTCATTTTTAAGATATACTTAATTTTTACAGTGATGTATAGTTAGTTGTTTGTTTATTAATTTTTCTAAAGAAGTTATTACGTTTTAAGTAACTTTGTAGTCAGTTTTAAGATACTTCTTTTTGCAGTGATAAGAAGTAAAATATAAGAATTCTTAAATTTCTCACATTTGTTGCATAAGGAGTGAATTTTTTCATTAACTGATTAATTAAATTTTTTATAGCGATTCAATTCGTGATCGAAGTTATGAAGAATCATCACGTACGAGACGCCGAAGTCCAGAACCAACTAAATCGGTTACTAGAGAATTGGTCAGTATTTTCTAACTTATATGCTTTTTTATATTATAAAAAAAAAAAACTTTATTTTATTAATCCTCTAATTCTAATTTATTACTTTTCAGACCTCTTATAGTGACAGCAGTCTCAGGACTCGACAACCGTCTCCTATTCGATCAACCCAGAAGGACGTATTTTATCAAGAAAGTAAAGAGAGTAAGTAATGTCAAATCCTTAAAATCCTTAAAAATTATAATCAAATTCTTTAAAACGATTCAATTATTTTCAAAAAATATTCAAAATTCAATTATTTTCACTAATAATAACATTTTTTTTTATGAAAATCCAATTATTTAAAAAAATGTTTGATAAACTACTCAGCAAGAAATAATTCAATTATTTTTATAAATAATAATACTCGTCGAAGAATTTTAATTATATTTTTAATACTATTTTAAATTAATTAATCGAAAAATTCAATTATTTTCGCAAATAAAATTTTCCACAAGAATTCAATTTAAAATAAAATTTTCATTATATTTATTATATTTCGAGAAAATTAATTATTTAAAACAATGTTTGTAAAATTCTTATGAAGAATTCAATTGTTTTTAAAAATAACAAATAAATAAATAAATTTTTTTCACAGAAATTCAATTCGTTTTAAACATTTTAATACAATTTTTCGCAATAATTCAATTATTTTTGAAAATTTTAATAAAATTCTTAGCAACTATTTAATTATTTTCATAAATAATAAATTCATCGTAGGATTCAGTTACCATATACAAAAATAATTCTTCGAAATAATTCAATTATGTCGATAAATAACAAAATAATTCCTGAAAATTCAATTATTTTGAAGCATTTTTATAAAATTCTTTGTCAAATTCAATTATTTTCATAAATAATAAAATATTCCTCTCAGGAATTCAATTTTTTTAACCATTTTAATAAATTTTTTTGAAATTATTCAATTATTTTCGTAAATAATAAAATTCATCGCAGGATTTCAATTATTGTTAAAAATTTTAATATTCTTTTCTTTGTAAAATGTACTTACAATTGTAATTAAATTTTTTAAAAATAATTCAAATATTTTTTTAGATTTTAATAAAATTCTTCCCAAGAATTCAATTATTTACATAAATAATTCTTCGAAAAAGTTCAATTATGTCGATAAATAACAAAATTATTCCCGAAAATCCAATTATATTTTGAGTCATTTTATTAAAATTCTTTGCAAAATTCAATAATTTTCATAAATAACAATATTCATTACAAGAATTCAATTATTTTGAAAAGTAATAAATTTCTTCTTGTAAATTCAATTATTTGAAAGAATTATAAATAAAATCGTTCGGAAGAATTCAATTATTTTCAAAAATGATAAAATGCTTTTTAGAAATTCAATTATTTTAAAAAAAATTTAATAAAATACCACACAGACAGTCAATTATTGTCCAAAATTTTAAAATAATTCTTTATAAAATGTAATTATTCTAATAAATTTAATTTCAATTCCTTGAAAAAATTAATTATTTAAAAAAAAATATTTTTTTTAAATTCTTTAGAATAATTAAATAATTTCTAAATATTTTAATGAAATTGTTCGAAAGAAATCAATTATTTTAAATTCTTTTAGATTCTAATAAAATTCTTACCAAGAATTCATTTATTTTACATAAATAATTCTTCGTAAGAATTCAATTATTAAAGATAAATAACAAAATTATTTCCGAAAATTTAATTATTTTTAGGCGTTTCAATAAAATTGTTTGCAAAATTCAATTATTTTCTTAAATAACAATATTCATCACAAGTATTCAATTATTTTTAAAAGTAATAAATTTCTTCTTGAAAATTCTATTATTTAAAGAAATTCCAGTAAAATCTTTCTCAAGAATTCAATTATTTTCAAAAAAATTTAATAAAATACCACACAGACATTCAGTTATTGTCAAAAATTTTAATAGAATTCTTTATGAAATTTAATTGTTTTTAAAAACTTTTTTCAATTCAATGATTTTTTATATCTACTATTATTTTCATAAAATTTCCAAACAGAATTCAATTATTTAAAAAATTTTTTGTAAATTCTTCGTAAGAATTAAATTTTTCTCATGATTAATATTAAATTTCACAGGAATTCAATTATTCAAATTAGAATTTGCATAAAATTAGTCGAAAGAAATAAATTCTTTAAAAATTTTTATAAAATTCTTCGCAAGAATGAAATTGTTTTTATAAATATTTAAGTTCTTTCATGAATTATAAAATTCATTGCAGGAATTCAATTTATTATCAGGATAAGAAAGAAGTAAATATTTTTGATGAAAATCAGGAAAATAAAAAATATGGAATGGAATTCTTGTCTAAAACGATTTTTTTTATCGTCAAGTTTAATTTTTAAATAGCTATTTTTTTACTACTTTTTTAGTTTTAAAACTACTTTTTGATTCCTTTTTAAAATTAATTATCGAGTGCGAAGTCTGAAATTGTAAAATCTTTAGGTTACCGATCGAATCCAAGAACATTGACGAGCACGTCACATGAAGTACTTGAGGACGTAACACCCGCAGTGCCAGTGAATTTGGCACCCGGACCGAACACTAAGGTGACAACCACTGTCAAGACCTACACCTACGAGCTTCCTGGAGCACCAGACACATACGTGAATAGTTCCTTGACAAAGAATCATGATAAATCCGTGACCTATTCATCTACAAAGGATCCAGGGGTTCAAAAAACGATCACCTATGAGGTAAATAAAAAAACGACTTTGAAAATTTATAGAAGAGAAGAAAAACAGAAAGGAGGAGAATTTAAATCACTTCTAAATACTTTTTTAAATTACGTATTTAAATTACTTTTAAATACTTTTCTAATTTACGTATTTAAATTACTTTCAGGTGGATCAAAGAGGTTACCGCTCAGGAAGTCCAGTGAGATATTCACCAATTGACGTGCCAGTAAAATCGAAAACCGTTCACGCTGAGGAAAAATATTTCCGTGAAGAGCGCCACGGTTATAGACCAACGAGTCCAACTTATCACACTTCGAGTAATGCGACAACAATCTATCATGGATCACCCTCACCAACGGGCACGTCAAGTTTGACGAGAAGAGAGAAATTCTCCGATATCAATGGCTATGGACCACGAGGACCTGGCGATTTCACCGATCACGCGGAACTTAAGAGCACCACCTATTATCAAAGTCCAGTGGCACCAGTGAGTGAAACGCGAACCGAATTAATTGAGGAGCATTACAGTAGTAGATCACGAAGTCCGCCTAGAACTTATTATCCTCCGGTACAAACGACAAGCGCAAAGGAGACAATTTATAAATTCGAAAAGTCCAGCAAAAGTTGCGATGGACCCAAACCATTTCCCTCTGGTGGGGTCAAAGTTTATCCGACGAAACCACCGATTTCCGAGGGACCACCCGCTAAACTCGAAGATCTGATGGCTTCTTTTTCAGACACCGAGGTAAGATTTTTTTTTTTTTTATAGTTGGTATTTTTCTTAGAATTTCTTACGGTTTGCATTTTTATAAAACTAGAAATCGGAAGCTTCGCTCTATTAAATTTTAGACGCTGGCCAATTTATTAACTTTCGATCCATCTTTTCGAAAAGAACAGACAAATTTTTAAAAATCTAGATTAATTAAAAATTAAAAATTAGCGCAAAAAGTATAGTCAGTTGGCTTTGAACGCTTATATCTCAAGTAAAAAAAATCGCACAATATTGAAACAACTTGGAATCAGTAGCTACAACATTTCTACGTTGCAATAATGCAAAAAAAATTCTATTTCAAAAATTAACTCCCGAAATAATTAGAAAAAGTTTTTTTTTTATTTACTCCTATAAATTCCATAAAAACCACTTATAAGGCCACTTGTTGTGCATATTTTTTTATAAACCTGACGATTTAAACTAACAATACTTAGAACAGGTAATTGAAAACAATTTGCGAAAGTAGTAAATTTTTTAAGTCTATAAAACTTAAGTATCAGCACTAACGAGTAATTCGAAAAAATTATTTAATTTTCTTCCCTATTAGTAAAGTCTTTCTTGTAATTATTCATTTTCACTATTAAGCTCCGATGCAACTTGAGTGAAGAGAGACTCCCAAGTCCAAACTTCATCGGCCTCCTTCACCGATTTCTCAGAGTATAATCTCTTGGTGAACATTGTCAAATTAACACCATCCATTGTTGCAAATTTCACATTTTTCACCAATTCAGTATCGAGTTCCTTATAAGCTGCGACACGATTCACTCCCTCCCTATAAAAATAAAAAAAATTAACATTACCCAGTTCCTATAAAATTCTCAACGTTCAAATGGTCGAAATTTATTTACTACAATTTTTTACAAATTAGTTAGAAAAGTTCTTAAATTTTGTTTTTGTTTTTTTTTACAATAGAAATAGTAATTTTTCACAAATATTTACAGTGGTAAAAAATGTCCATTTGAAAATTAAGAACCATTTTTAAGAATTACTAAACAGACTTTGTATAATGTAACTACCAACAAAAAAAAAATAGTGCATTAGACGAAATGAAAAAACTAATAAAGATAATAGCAGGAAATTATATAAGAGATGAAGAAAAGAAGATGAATCAGGGTTGACACAAAAATTTAATTTTGTTTTTCCCTAATTTGCAGACAAAATTTTTCCCTGACCCTAAAGAATATTCTAATTCACTCTAAAAATGATTGGATAGTCAAAAAAATGTTCTAGAATTTCTTTAATTGGGAAATTATTCGAAAACATCAATAACTTCATTTTTAAAAATATTTATAATCATTATTATTTTTCCATAGCAATTAAATAAGATTTTCAAATTCAAACTTTTCTCAAATTTAATTAATTAAATCAAACAAATTTAATTAATTCCGAGTCTTCGACTCGAAATGATCGACTTCTTCATGTTTTACAATAACTAAAGATGACCGAGTAATAAAATAATTATTAATATTGTTACTGTAACTTCTTCAAAATTATTTTCTTCTATTTATTATTTCTTAGAATTTTTAAGTAAAATTCTTTAAATTATTTTCTTCTTAAAATTTCTTTAAATCAATTATTTTTAATAATTTTTGAAAAACTTTTTTTGAAAATTTTCAAATTTATTCGTTTGCAATTCAATTTTACGAATTTTTAATTATGCGGAAATTCTTCAATTAAATATTTCAAGTTTTTATTTTCTAATATAATATTAGAAAAAAAAATTAAAAAAATAATTTTTAAAAAAATTCAATTAAACATAATTTCAAAAAAATTAATTCAAAAGAATTGTTAGTTAAAAGTATAAAAAATTCAAATTTTCAAAGATTTTAATTTGAAACCTTTTCAAAATTAAATTATTTCTTAAAATTCACGCTATATTGCTTTTAATATTCAATAATTATCTAAGATTTTAACTGAAATTTACTTTTAAATCAATTTTTATTAGAAAATTCTACGATAATTAAATTATTTAAATATTAAAATTAATAATTTTTTGAATAATTGAATGTTTCTTAAAATTGAATTCTCATATAAAGAATTTTATCAACAAACTTTTAAAAAATTGAATTCTTTCGACGAATTTTAATAAAACTTTTAAGAATTAAATTATTAAATTCTAATAAACAAATTATATAATTTTTTTAAATAATTGAATTATTTTTGAAGAATTTTAAAAACATGTTTAAGAATAATTGCATTTTTCGAGGAATTCATTTAAAATTGTATTAAATATAATTTAAATTCTGCAATAAATTTATTAGTTATAAAAATATAATTGAATTCTTGCAACGAATAATTGAATTTTTGAGAAGAACTTTATTAAAGTTTTTCAAATAATTGAATTCTTTTGATAAATTTTATTAAAATAGTACATGTTAAAAATAATTGAATTATCACAAAGAAATTTCTTTCAAATTTTTAAAAATGAAATTTATTCAAAATAATTGAAAATAATTGAATCCCTGTAAAAAATTTTATTATTTATGTAAATAATTGAAATATATTGCTAAGAAATGTATTAAAAATTTGTAAATAATTGAGTTCTTTTGGAAAATTTTATTAAAATAGTAAATATATTAAAAATCAGTGAATTGAGGAAAATTTTTGAAAATAGTTGAAATTTTGCCAAAAAGTTTATTAAAATTTTTGAAAGTAATTGAATTTTGGAGAAGATTTTTATATAATTTATAAAAATAATTGAATTTTGTCGAGAATTAAAAAAAAATGTTTAAAGATAATTGAATTTTTGGGAAGAATTTTATTACTTTTGAAAATAATTGAATTTCTGTAATCATTTGTAACTTATCCCCAAAATTCAATTTTTGTTACTGTTTCTAACTAAATATTTTTCTATAAGTCCATTATTTTTAATAACTAATTAGTTACTGAAATAATTTAACTATAATTTCAGAAGAATTTGAATTATTATAATTTTTAAAAAATTTAAATTCTTTAAAATTTCTAATTAAATTCATTAAAAATTTAACTTTACAAAAATTTAAAATTGAATTCTTTATTAAATAATTTATAAGTAATAATTTTATGATAGTTCTTCAAGAATTAAGTAATTTAAAAAGAAATTATTGTCAGAAATAGAAAAAATTGAAGGTTTTGTATCAAAATTCGTGATAATTTCATGGAATATAAAGTAAACAAAAAAAAAACACCAAAATTAAGAATTTTCTTCTAAATTCTAAATATTTAATTTTTTTCCAGTACTTTTAATAAAAATTCCTGACTTTTCCTTCATTTCCCTAACAAATTCAACTTTCCTTGAGACTTTTCCCTGAATTCCCTGACCTGTGTCAACCCTGACGAATGAATTCAAAAGAATATTTACAATTGATTAGAAATTTTACTATACAGAGAAAAAAAAATGTTTGCAGAAAGAAGTTTTGGACGAGATTGACCGAAAGGAGCGGGTTCAACGAAGAACCAAGGAAATAATTAAAAAGGAAGTGGAATTCACGAACTCTCCACCAAGAAGCAAGGCAGCTTCTCCTGTTTATTATCCCCCAGGTTCTGAATTAGCGAAACGTGAAGGAAGTGGATCAATGGCACACTCAAGCGTAAGTTTTTATCATTTATATCTTTAAATTATTTATTTATTATTAAAATTCCAAAGATTTTTATTTTTTAATTTTATTTTCAAAACTTTTTTCAAATTTTCTTCTAAAACAATTTTTTATTTCAGAGTGCCTACATGTCGGATAAGGGCGAATGGAAACGGGGGATGTACGAAAAAGAATCGAAATCAGAAACAAAATGGAAGACAAAGAAAGGAAAAGTAGCGATACCTCTTTGTTTGCCTCTGTGTTGCGCTGCACCATGTGTCATTATGTGAAAAAAAAAATATCAAGCTATTTAAACAAAAATTCGCGAAAACTAAACAAAATTAATAATAATAATAATAACATTCAATGCCTCAATTTTGAATTCAGATGTTTAAAAAAAATAATTCTTTGCAATTAAAGAATATATTCTTTAATTGCAAAGAATATTTTCTTTTCTCTCGACGAAAAATTCTGAATTCTTAAAAATAAAAATGTAGCGGCAAAAAATCAGTAGATCTTAAATGTTAAAATAATTATTATCAATTGAATATTAATATCAATGATACTGTCTCTAACAAAAAATGTAGTTTAACTCAAATGTTCTATTTATATTTATTGTATGACAAAAAACCTGTGAGTTTCAATTTTTTCTCTAAAAACATTAATTTTTACACAATTTTCTCTAATTTAAAAAAATTAATATCCGTTCGGATTTTATAAAAATTAATTTTTGCTTAAAATAGTCGCAAAATTCTATTAAATATAAAAAATAGGAATATTTTCTCGCTAAAAAAATTTAATTCTATTAATTCTAGTAGTAAATTAATAATTTTTTTTAGAGAGAAAATATTATTTTCTTTCTTTTGTAAATTAAAAATTAAAATTAAAAAAAAAACTATTATATGAAAAATAGAAAAAAATCTTTATAATGGAAAAACGAATTCTCCGCCTCCTCATGAATTAATTAAGAAAAAAAATAGTGTAACTTATTGAAATCGACTAATTTTTTATTTCTTAATCATCAATAGTTTCATAGACCTGAGACCGTGAATTATGGTGCTATAATAATATTATAAATACGTATCAATAATAATCATATATATAATTAATAATAAAAAAAACGAGCATTAAACACACAAAAAAAACGAGTGCGTTTTACAAGACGAACGCAAAAATATCAATCAAGTCTCGTTATATAATTATCATACACATATAAAATAGAAATCGACAAAGAGAAGTTTTTTGTGACTTCGAATTTTCGCAGTGAAGAAAAAATTTCCAAAACTGAAGAAACAAAAAAAATCATCGTTTTAAATTTAAAAAAAAACGGCACAATATTGTAGTTCCTTTCGTGAAATAAAAAGAATGTTGTCTTCCAGTTAAATAAATGTCCTGATTAATTTTCTTTTTGTTAACTAAGAGAGCTTCTTGTCATTCTTAATAATAATGTACAGCGTAAACTGTTGCAACGCAAAATAACGAGTCCTAAAAAAAAAAACACGAAATCAATGAATTAAATTATTCGACAGTAAAATAATTCTCTTTGATTAATTGAATAATTCACTGATAATTGAAAAAGTTTCATTATTAAATTTTAATTCAATAGTTAAACTAACTATCAGATAATATTGTCAATTCAAATATTCAGTTAACTAAATAAATTATTAATTCATTTGGGTTATTGACTAAAAAAATTATTAATTTATTTAGGTAATTAACTAAATAAATTATTAATTCATTTGGGTAATTAACTGAATAAATTATTAATTCATTTGGGTTATTGACTAAATAAATTATTAATTCATTTAGATAATTAACTAAATAAATTAATTATTAAATCATTTAGATTATTGATTATTAATTAAATGAATTAACTATCAATTTACTTAGTCAATAATAATAATTTAATTAATTGAATAATTTATTTCCTTTCTTTAATCAATCATTGCGAGAAATAAAACTGATGTGAAAAAATTCACACAGAGAAAAAAATTGAAGAAAAAAAATTTTCTTTGTAAAGAAAAATTCTTTTTTCTTTGAGAAAAAAAAGTTTCTTACATTCACAAACTTATCAAAAGCGTAACTATCAGCTTCAGCATCCCAAAAACATCTCGCGCCCATTTTTACACCTGCACCACGTTGTTCGCCCATAACAACGTTTACAATGTATTTGTACTCTTTGGATTTAAATTCTGAAAATATATTTTTCTTTAATAAGAATTAATTTTGTGTTCTTTTTTGGGGAGATTTCTTTTTTAAATTTTTAGCTTCTTTTCATTCCTTCTCAAGTTTTAAAAGATCGATAAAATTCAGATTCAAAAATTGTTTTAATTAAAAAATTAAAACAAATTAATATTTTTTAATTAAAACAAATTTTTAATTTGATTTTTATCGAATTTTTTTTTGAAAATATTTTTGAAAATAGAAATATTTGGCAAATTTTTTACCCCTCATTTTATATTTTATAATATCCGCTATTTCCTTGCTCCATTGATACGCTTCCGCCTCATTGAATGTTTTTGTTGATAGTTGATCGTACAATACGTTGTGTATTATCTCTCTTGCATTTAACGTTTTAAACCTGCGTATTTGAATAGTTTTTTTCTCTTTTGAATATTTTTATTGTTAACGATACTCCTAATTTTTTTCTTTTTTTTGAACAAATATTTTTTAAAATTTTTATAAAAGAAAAATCAAAGAAATTTCCTTTCATTTCTATATCTAAAGACGCACGCAAGAAAATTTTCATTTTTAAAATCTCTAATTTTTTGACCCCAAAATGAAAGAAAAATTATCAATATTCTATACTGAATATGATTTCAATTATGATTTAAATTATAATTTTACTATAATTAACAGTCGACTGTGAATACTATAAATAAAACGAGATAAAATGGAAAATAATTGGAAAACTGTGAAATAGAAAAAGAAATTGAGAAATAGCAAAGTTATTCGTGTGCAATAAATAAATAAATAATTCACCAACAATCAATTTTGGAAATTTGTTAAACGCTTAAATAATAATTTTCTTTTTAAATATTTCTATAGATAATTCTGAATATTTCTTCTTTTATTTGGACACTTAAAAACAATAAAAACAATAAATAAATAAATAATAATAGAAATAACTTTTTTGTTTCGTAACTTTCTTTTAATAATTTTTCTTTTTAAATATTTTCAATTTTAAAATTAATTTATTGAAAATCATCGAATTTTTGCAAAGAATTTTACTATATTTATAAATATAATTGAATTGTATTGAAAGATTTATTAAAATTTTAGAAAATAATTGAATTCTTTTGAAATATTTCATAACGAATTAAAAAAAATTGAATTCTTTCGTGAAATTTTTTTGAAAATAATTGAATTTTTGCAAAGAATTTTATAACGAATTAAGAACAAAAAATTGAAATCTTTCGTGAAATTTTTTAGAAAATAATTGAATTTTTTCAAAGATTTTACTGTTTAAAAAAACAATTGAATTGTTTCGAAGGATTTATTAAAATTTTGTTTAAAAATAATTGAATTTTTGCAAAAAATTTTACTATTTATAAAAATAATTGAATTCTTACGAAGAATGTAATTATTTATGAAAATAATTGAATTCTTGCGAATAATAACAATAATAATAGTAATCATAATAATAATTATAGAAAAGAATAGCAAAGTATTTAAGAGAATAATAAAAGAAAGTGTTTATATTTGAACGTTTAGAATTTACCTTGACAATTAACCTTAAAAATAAATTATGTAAATAATAAGAATAAAGCTTACTTTTCAGAAAGTTTTGGACGAATTTGATACGTTGCTTGTTGAGATTCAGCATCTCCATCCTCATCTTCGAGAATTTCAAAATTTGCATCTAATTTTGGTTCTTCAACAACAGGCACTTGTTTAGACAATTTTTGCCATGCTTGGCCCTTCATTTCTGATTGTCGAGGTAAAATATCATTAGATTCATCCATTTTTGACTGTTTTTCCTTTATATATAAATCTTTGTACTTTTCTTTTTTCTTCTAATCAAAATTTAATTAGAAACTAAAAACAGTTAGCGTTATAATGAACAACAACAAGCCGATAAAACTAAAATAATCCATCACACATTTATGCTACATTTAAAGATAAACAAAAAATCGAAGTTTACACTGTGTTTTGATTACCGTTACTGTGGCAACTCTGAGAATATACTAAAAAAATTGATATTATCAATTGTTAAAATTATAATTGACGATTTTTTTGTGCTAGAGAAATGTTTATATTAAATATATAATTGTTATAGAAACGTCTCTTTTAACTCTGACTGTTTTTTGTAAATAACAGTCTTTTTTTGTTTACACCGTCGTTTACACCGCAAGCATGAATTTTGAGGTTATGGTAAATTAAGGCGCTAGCACAGCTCCTACTGCCTGCCTGCCTGCCTGCAGGTTGACATGGTAACACATAGGAGTAAGAGAGTAAGACAATTCAAATTAAATGTTTTTTCTCTCTCACTCTTATGGCGCCTGCCTGCGCAGGCAGGCAGGCAGTGAGGTGAGAGTGTACCTTTATTTTAAAAACATCCGGTGCGGTAAATTTGAAATTAATTCGGTGCAAAATTAAGTAACTTTCCCGACTAACAAATAACTTTTAGTCTACTATTAACTTTTCCCTTTTTACTAAGAAATTCATTAATTAGTTATTAAATGTGTTGTAAATAATTAATTCACTTAAATATTTACGATTTTAAATTTCTTTCCCGCGTGTCAAATATCGATTTTTCGATATTTGATTTCGATCTTTCGAGATTACTCGCGGCTAACTTCTTCTACTTCACTTTCCGTTGTGACCACGACACGAAGAGAAACACTCTCTCTCTCTGCAGTTATTGTGCAGAGAAATTGAAATAAATAAGAAATAATTGTTTTATAACTAATGAATAATTGACAGAAAATGTTAAGGAAAATATAATTGTAAATAAAATGCAAGAGGACGTATTTCCGGCAGCTGAGAAAATCTTGGCTGACATTGAAAATGTTTTGGAGAAGGATCATAATCTGTAAGTACAATACCTATATATATATATATTATAGAGAAATAATCATGGGCGGGGTATTTTAACAAAAACTTTAGCAATTTTCTACTAAAGAAACGTTTCCTGTTGTAATTCACGTGTATTTTTTTCTTGAATTTTAAATGAATTTGCTTAAAATTCTTAGGTTAAGTTATGACACTTGGTAAAAAATTTCGGTTATGTATTAACATTGTTAATTTATTCCCGCGCTGAACTTTAATTTTGTGTTAAAAAATAATAATAATATTAAAAAATTAAATTATTGATTAATTAGATATTAATTTACAATTCGTCTTCGATAGACTTAAATTAACGTCTAAGGATTAAGGGCAATTTAAAAAACTTTCTCCAATTTCGTCTCAGGACCGTAAATGCAAATATATGTAAAATTCTTGGAATTAAAAAGAAGTTAGGAAAATTTTTTTTAAATAAGGCAAAGGATAGAAATTTTAAGACAAAAAGCAGAAAAAGTGAGAGAAATAGAAAAAAGACAATATTTTAAAAATTTACATTAACAAAAGAAACTTAAAAGGTTATCTTGAAAAAATATTGAAATTCAGATAATTTATAATTTAATTAGTTAAATTAATTATATTGACTACAATTAATAATAGTTAATTAATTTCTTTTTAAGTTAATTTATTCAAATTCAAAGATCCAAAACAATCGAAAATGAAGGACATAATTGATTCTAACCTGTAAAAAATCTTCTTATCAAACAGAAAGTAAAAATATTTAATTAAGAACTTCAAAATTATACATTTTTAACTATAATATCAAATTAATGCGATCATAATTATTTTTAAAATCTATTTTTTAATTTTTTTCTAGTTAAAAGTTTTAGTGAATTTCCCGTAAATAAAAAATACAGTTCTATTCAATTATAAAATAATTAGTGAATCGTTAATGACGGTGAGATTGAACTTTCTCTTTACACTTAATTACTAAAGAAATTGTTTTGTATGGTAATTATAATTTATTGTTACTGATTTATTTTTATTTATTTATTTTTAAAACGATTTTTCATATGATTTTTAAAAAATACAATCTCCTTAATAATTTGCCTGTTATTTTTCATTTTTTAGTATTGGTTTTGAAATTATTCCGGCTGACAATGAGAATAAATAATCGATTTACCATTCCAAAATGCATTTTAACTGATAAGAACTGAAATCATAACATCTGTGTTTGTGAAATCCATCAAAATTTTAAATTTGTGTTTGAAAAAAATTTAAAACACATTCCAAAATGCATTTTAACTGATCACAACTGAAATCATACCATCTGTGTTTGTGAAATCCATCAAAATTAAAAATTTTAAATTAGTGTTTGAAAAAAATCTAAAACACATTCCAAAATGCATTTTAACTGATCACAACTGAAATCATAACATTTGTATTTGTGAAATCCATCAAAAATTTAAATGAATGTTTGAAGAAAATCTAAAACCCATTCCAAAATGCATTTTAACTGATTACAACTGAAATCATAATATCTGTGTTTGTGAAATCCATCAAAATTTTTAATTAATCTTTAAAGAAAATCTAAAAACCATACGGTTTTTAAAAAAATACAATTTCCTTAATAATTTGCCTATTATTTTTCAATTTTTAGTATTGGTTTTGAAATTATTCCGGCCGAGGACAATGAGAATAAATCACCGGTTTTCCATGCTGAGAATTATTTAGGTCTCGCATCATGGAGTGTACAACCATTGTTTTGTTACGTTTACAATCGTCTCTTGGATCTAAGACAAAGTAAATATCGACGTGAAGATCCAGTGAAAATATCACGATGGCTTCTCGGTGCTGTTCTATTAAATCCCGACATATCAACATTTTGGAATATGAAACGTGAATTAGTGAAAAATCGACGTCTAGATCCAATGCAAGAATTACGTTTTTCAAGTATTGTTCTTTATTATAAATCAAAATGTTTCGAAGCATTTGTTTATCGTCGTTGGCTCATTAAATTTTTATTAACTGACACAAGTCAATCGTCAATTGAAATTGAGACACTCGTGAGAAATGAGATAAAAGTTGCAACAATGACTGCAAATAGATATTGTAGTAATAATCATGCATGGTGTCATCGACAATATGCCGTTGGTCTTTTTGAGACATTGGCTAAGGAGAATTTTTATTCATTTCTACAAAACGAATGGGAGACGACAAATAATTGGTGTAGTCGTAATGTTTCCGATTACAGTGGTTTTGCTTATCGACAATTTTTATTGAAAAAATTACTCTTTATTTATCCACGAAACGATGAAATGAAAATATCATTGGACAAAATAGCCAGGCATCGAACAATTGTTTTAGAATACGTGAAAAATGATAAGAGAGGTATGGAAATTTTTATTTATCGAAAAAACTCGTTAAATTCTGCTTTTGTATTAAATTATTTCCTTTTTGTTTCAGAATGTAAAAACGCATTTGTCTATTCAGACACAGTGAACAGTGAATTCTTGTGTCCTTTACATGGTGTGAGAAGTGAAAAAAAAGCCGAAGACTGTGATCAAACGGTGATAAATCTCTCATATTGGATTGAAGAATGTGTATTGAATGAGGATTTAATAAAAACATTTCCTGGTCATGAGGCTCTATGGTGTCATAGAAGATTTTTGGCCTACTCTCTTCTTGCCTTAATAAACTCTTATAAAAAGTATTTTCAATATAAAAGTGAAATTTTCGATTTCAATCAAACTCAAAGGCATTGGAATAGAGAAAATAAAGTTGCCGGCGATTCAGCAATGTCACGTGGACTTCTTGAGGAGGCATTTCATATACACAATCAAGATCTAATTGCTCAAGCCAAAAGATCTGGTCAACATCAAAATTTCCTAGCCGAAAAGTTCATTAAATATCTAATGAATAATGATTTGGAACAATGAGAACATTTTTTCCTCTTATAAAGTCGTATTTTGCGAGAAAAGGTAGATCAAATTTTGTGTCTGCTACGACTATAATTATATAAATATTCAAGCATTATATTTTGTAGATAGTGAAAATAATTCTCTCCGCCCAATTAATCGACTAGTTCGATTTAAGCAAATTTTTGTCAATGATTTTTAGATGACTGGAAAAATAGTCAATAAAGCAAAACTTTTTAAAAGAAGGTTGCTTTTTTTAAAGAAAGAGAAAACAAAAGTGAATATATTGAAACCAAGGAAAGTTATTTATACAGTGGAAAGGGCCTTCTTTTAACCACTTCCAAGGTAAATCTCCTTCAAATCCTCGTATTTCAATGCTCCAAATAACATTCTTTTTGGTACATAATTTGAAGAAAAGCTTATATGAAAAAATGCATTTTAACTGATCACGATTGAAATCATAACATCTGTGTTTGTAAAATCCATTAAAATTTTAAATCAATCTCTAAAGATAATTAAACAGCTATTCCAAAATGCTTTTTAATTGATCACAAATGAAATCGTAACATCTGTGTTTGTGAAATCCATCAAAATTTTAAATAAATGTTTAAAGAACATCAAACACCTGATCCAAAATGCATTTTAACTGATGACAACTGAAATCATAACATCTGTGTTTGTGAAATCCATCAAAATTTTGAATTAATGTTTAAAGAAAATTAAACACCTGTCCCAAAATGCATTTTAACTGATCACAACTGAAATCGTAACATCCGTGTTTATAAAATCCATCAAAATTTAAGTTAATATTTAAAGAAAATTAAACACCTGTTCCAAAATGCATTTTAACTTATGACAGCTGAAATCATAACATCTGTGTTTGTGAAATCCATCAAAATTTTAAATTAATCTTCAAAGAAAATCTAAAAACCTGTCCCAAAATGCATTTTAACTGATGACAACTCAAATCGTAATATCTGTGTTTGTGAAATCCATCAAAATTTTAAATTAATTTTTAAAGAACATCAAACACCTGTTCCAAAATGCATTTTAACTGATAACAACTGAAATCATAACATCTGTGTTTGTAAAATCCATAAAAATTTAAAATTAATGTTTCAAGAAGATCAAACAACTGTTCCAAAATGCATTTAAACTAATGACAACTAAAATCGTAACATCCGTGTTTTTAAATCTATCAAAATTTTTAATTAATTTATAGAGAAAATCTAAATCCTATTAAAAATACATTTAAACTGATCACAACCGAAATCATAACATTTGTGTTTGTCAAATCCATTAAAATTTTTAATTAATGTTTAAAGAACATCAAACACCTGTCCCAAAATGCATTTTAACTTATGACAGCTGAAATCATAACATCTGTGTTTATAAAATCTATCAAAATTTTTAATTAATTTGTAAAGAAAATCTAAATACCATTAAAAAATGCATTTTAACTGATTACAACTGAAATAATAACATCTGTGTTTGTGAAATTCATCAAAAATTTTGAATTAATATAGTAAATATTCAATTTTATCAATTTGTTAACCTTAATGGAATAATACATATCTGTATTAGTTATTTTATAGTATTAACAATAATACTTCTTCTTTAATATTTCCAAAATAATTTTTTTATTATATCAATGTCAGTTTGTGAAAAATGCAATTATTTCCCCGTTGAGATCGATAACCGTTTTTCTTTTTAAAATAGAGTGTGGGTATTTTTAGCTAGAACAATAAAATTGTATCTATCGCGAGAAAACAACTGACCGTTATAATGTAACCCACGCTTTCGCGGATCCCGCGACGTTCTGATTCAGCGTTTGATTTAAAAATAAATTTCCACTTTTCGTCAGTTGTCAGTCTTGATCAAACTCTCCAATGATAGTTTCAATATTTCGGGAATCGAAATTTTTTCCTTTTCTTTAAAATTGTGAACATTTGTTTGAATCTATATAACAAATTTTATCGCATAAACCTTGTTTTATACATGAATAATTGATACACAAAGTAAAATAAATAATAATTACAGTTGATTAGGTTAATAAATGCTTTTTTTCAATTTGAAAATTTTATTTTTGAAATTAAAATTATTTTCAATTTAATGCTGTTGTTTTCAAAAAGCTTTTTATATTTTATAATTAAAGTTAAATATTTTTTATTATTAAAACAAGAAATTTTCATTAAAAACAATTTCAGAAAGAAGAGCATTTAAAATTACGATTCTCAACATGAAATATTATCGCGAGAAAGAATTTAAGTTCAATGATCGTTGAAGCGAGAAATTGATTGTCGCTAATAATTTTATCGCGCGTAGACTATATTATATATTTTCTTGTAATTTTTTTTTAACGCGTGTTTTGAAAGATAATAAATAGGTAATATTTTTAATAAAAATAAATAAATTTTTTTTTTTCTAATATAGATTTGTAACAAAACGCGAGAAAATAAAAGAATAACACTAAATAAAATAGTCGAATGCGGATAAAATTGCAATTGAAAATTTTGATGTTGACATTGATTTGAAATCGTTAATAGCTATATCGATAGCATGTCTATGAAGCCAAAGCACGTGACTATTTTCTTTTGTTTTCATTGGCTTTTAACAGTAAAGACTCTTAAAGAGAGTTACGTGGTCTCTTCGCCGGTCACATCCACAGTAGTGTTTTTCAAGATTTATTATATGCATGTTAGCGAATCAACTCACGGAAACGTTCCTTTTCATAATTTTTCAATAATATTTTGTGTGAGAGAAATAATTATTCATGGATCGCGAGGAGGAAGAGGAGAAATTTACATTTACATTGAGACGTGCAAGTAGTTTACGTTTATCATCTCGTCGTGCATTTAAAGGTGAGAGACTTATTTATTTTTTTTTTCGTTTGTTTTGTTTTAATATGTAAAATGAAAAAAAGGAGGTCAGTCGCAGATTATATTCCCTGACATTATATTTCATTGAATTTTATTTCAATATTTATTAGAATTTGTTTTTTTCTATTAATGTCTATAAATATTTATTTTTTTTTGGAAAACGATTTATGAATTTTTTCTCTCAAGAATGTTAATATATTAGTAATCTTCAAACTCCAATTTTTTTTGTCCTCTTTTTTTTTAAAGAATATGGAGACAAATTGAAATTTTTTAAAACAAACATTTGTTTTTTTTTAAATTAGTTTGAATTATTTGGTGAACAAAATTATCAAGTATTGTAAATTTAATCTTTTTATTGAATTATACGTAATTAAGAGACTTATGTAATTTTTAACCTTTAGCATTTTGCAATTTTTGAAATAACAAATGACTCTGAAATCGTATTATTGTAAGTAATTGAATTTTTATTAAGGAGATTTTCTTGTTTTTAATTTAGAAAATTTCTATTTTATCGATTTTTTATTATAATTTATCCATTAGAATTTTAAACAAAAATTTAAATTTACCGCGCAGTTGTCTATTCTACCGACAGAACATAGATTTGAAACTCGAAGGGAAAATAAACAAATATAATTTTATGTCAAACATCAAAATTGTCAATTGTTTCCCAAATTTATCCAATTAGATTTTTATTTGGTGTTTGGAATAGACACTTAATTTATGACATATTAAACTCAATACTTTGTGGATTATGTCATTTATTATAATTTTGAGACGTTTCGACACCGACGTCGGTGTTCTCTTCAGTCAAGATACATTTTCAATTAAGTTGAAACATCTTAATTTATTCCGCAAATTTAAAATTCTCTCCCAATATATCTTCTTTATCGAATGTACATAGATAGAAAACTCAAATAATTTTTTCTCTATGCGTTATTATGCTAAAAAATTTGGTTTAATTGACTTTAAAAAATAGTTGTGCATCTTTTTACATTTGGGAAAATTAAGTGAATAATTTTTAGAATTTTCTCATTGAAAACTGTATCAAAATAAATAGAATTTGAGACATTTTGCGCACAACACGTTACTGAGAGCTGGGTGACATTTTGCCAAATGATTCAGGTAACAGACTAATTCTGTATAGGGCAAGTATAATTATTGAAGGAAGGCCAACTTGGGTCAAGTGTAAATGTCATTTGCACTAGTTTATAACTATAGTCAAGATAGATATTCTTACCTCAATTTTAATTACTTTTAATAAATTCCATTTATTTTTAGTCTTTAAAAAAAAATTCTAATAAAAATGGTTAATATAACGTTGATTTCATTATTCGACAGAGTTTTCTTCAAAAATCAAAGTACAAAGTAATTTTAGGAATCTTACTCTTTTAATGTTATGATTAAGAAATCGGATCAAGTACAATTCGTTATATAGCATATACACATGTTGGACACTTTTATCTAATTAGAATTTCCTGGATTAGAGTAAAGATTTTTCTTGAAGATGAAAAATGGGTACAAGGACAGGCGCGTAATCGGAGTTGGATGAATAAATCAGGTCACGAGGCCTATATTTTTTATAATACCTAATAAGTTTTTTGAAAACAAAAATTTAGGTAAATAAAAAATTGGAGATGAAGGGTTTTTACAAATAAACAGATCCAAATAATAAATTCAATTCGGATAACCAAATACGTGTTTTCTTTTCAAATAACGATTTAGCTCCTCATAGGGACAATTTTATTCAAGAATTCGATAGGCTTGAACTCTAGGCTGATTTTTTTACAAAAGAATTTTTGCCATTGTCAGTCTAATGTAGTCTAATGACGCTAAAATATAATTTTTAGAAAATTCTCTATCAATAAAATGTCAAAATTTCCAATGTGATTGCGCGGCAAATTGCCAGAATCTATGAAACATTATTAAATTTATTTGCAAGTCTCCAATTAGTATGGAAGCAAAATCTTCAAGGTACATGAATGCCTTTGTACATTCTTTTTATCTTTTATTTCAATTTAAGTGAAATAATTCTTTGTTATAATGATTATAGCTTATAAATTGAATTAATTTTTTTCTTCAAAGAAATCAGTGTACTTTAATTGGAAAAATTACGGTTTAAAGTTATATGCCATTGTAAGAGTTTCAAGTCCAAGGTAATGCCACCTGTAAACATGTGCGTCGAGTTACTTTATTCTTCTATATAGCGTTAGTAATCCTCTCGACAGTTACTTGACGTAATGACATATTCATATAAATTAATCATACTATATCCTTTTTCTTAAATATTTTATCAGTTTAGTTTCAAATGACTTTTTATTGAATTTTAAATATTAACAATACGAATATTGTTCATTTCTTATGTA